AAAGTATGGAATTGATTATAAGGAGGTATTTGCATCAGTGGCATGTCAAGACACTATCAGGCTCATAATTTCTATTGCAGCAAAGAAATCTTGGCCTATTTATCAACTTGATGTGAAATCAGCCTTTTTACATGGAGAGCTTCAAGAGGAAGTATATGTGGAGCAACCAGAAGGTTTTGTTCAAAAAGGCAAAGAGGAACAAGTATACAAGTTGAAGAAAGCTTTGTACGGTTTGAAGCAAGCTCCGAGGGCATGGTACAGTCGCATTGATTCTCATTTTGAAAAGATGGGATTCACGAAATGCCCGTATGAACATACATTGTATGTGAAAACTGAAAAGGAAGGTAACATTATCATTATTTGCTTATACGTTGATGATTTAATATTTACTGGCAATAATGAAGAAATGTTGAATTTTTTAAGAAGAGCATGATGAAGGAATTTGAAATGACAGATCTTGGCTTGATGAGATATTTTCTTGGAGTAGAAGTTACTCAAACTCCCGCAGGTAACTTTATCTGTCAGAAGAAGTATGCTCAAGAATTACTTAAAAGATTTAAATTGGATGAGCGCACATTTGGAACTCCATCAGAATTGGGTTTAAAGTTGCACAATGACATTGACGGGCGAGAGGTTGATAATAGGTACTTCAAACAAATTGTGGGAAGTTTGATGTACCTAACTTCAACAAGACCAGACATCATGTATGCGGTTAGTATGATAAGTCGTTACATGGAGCATCCAATGGAAAAACATCTCAATGCAGCAAGAAGGATACTTCGTTATGTGAAAGGAACCTCTGATTTGGGGATATTCTACAAGAAAGGAGATGATCCGAAGATGGTTGGCTATACAGATAGCGACTATGCAGGTGATATAGACGATCGTAAAAGTACTTCAGGAAGTATTTTCATGATGAGTTCCGGAGCTATTTGTTGGTCTTCAAAGAAGCAACCAATTGCAAAACTCTCAACGACAGAAGCAGAATTTGTGGCAACATCAGCATGCTCGTGCCAAGCAATTTGGTTAAGAAAAATGCTTGAAATTCTTAATCAGAAGCAACCAAGTACGACGGTTATATATTGTGATAATATGTCAACTATTAAGTTGTCTAAAAATCCTGTGTTGCATGGAAGGAGCAAGCACATCGATGTTCGATTTCATTTCTTGCGTGATCTGTGTAAAGAAGGCATTATTGAACTCAACTTTTGTCGAAGTGATGAACAAATCGCAGACCTATTCACAAAGCCCTTGAAACAACCATTGTTCGAGAAGCTCAGAAAAAAGATGGGGATATGCATAATCCAAGATGTATATCAAGAAGATGAAGTGAAGTCCTAAACTGATTTCCGCAGAATTCAGTTTAAGGGAGGGTGTTGAAACTAATAATAGAAGTTTGAATTAGTTACTACGGAAGAGAAGGAGGAGGTGAATTCAATTTCATCCACAAAAATCTCAACCAACTCCGGGAATCCCCCCTATAAAAGGACCTCCCTCCCCATCATTCAAATCACTCCTCTCAATCTCACTTAAGTTTTCTGTTGACACCAACAAATCGTCCACATAGACCAACACAATTGCCAAATTTCCTTTTCTTTCTTTTCTTTGATGAACATGCTTGAGTCTGCATGCGCAACTAAATAACCACTTTGGGTAAGAAATTCAGCAATCTTATTATACCACGCTCTTCGTGGTTGGTTGCTTTAGTCCATCAAGAGCTTTTTTAAGCTTGATTAGGATTAGTTTGTTAGATAAATCCTATTTTAGTTAGAGTGATTCCTATTCTTTGTTAAGCCACACAATTAATTCGAGTAGAAGAGGTGGAAGGGCTTTAATCCAGTTCCACTCATTTCCATTTTTAGTTGAATGAGAAACATATCCTCCCGTCAACAATACATTTGTCCCTCTCTTGTGTTTTTCCTATTTTTTCTTCTCCCAACTTTTTTCTCCCACAATTTCCTCGTCAAATTAACAAGTAGTATCAAAGCCTGGTTTAATCCACTGGTAGTATATCATTGCGGAGGAGCCAACTTTATCAAAATCCAAGTTGAATAGTTCAATTGGTTAGAACGTCGATTTCGGGTAGGCTCACTTACTCCTCTGCCGACAACGTAACTGCTCTGATGAGCATCCTCGGTGAGGGGTCGATAGATCTAGAGGAAGAGCTCTAGATGGACTTGAAATCGGTGAAATAGGCGAGCAGCAAGAGAATCGACGGCCGAATGTGGGAAAGAAAAACATATTTTATTTGCAAAGGTCACTAAGTCCTGCTAGCACTTGGCTATCGACTCTCTTGCTACTGAATAAACATCAATAATAACTTTATTGAAAATAAAATATGTTTTTGTTTACAAGCTATGAGTTTTATGACATAAAATTCAACACTTGTATGAGTCGGTTAGGAATATAGACATATGATTACAAATCAAGGGGAGAAACGCTCAAAGCGAGTTGAAGAGATAGATTTTCAGACGACAATGCAACAGTTCACACGCATCTTCTTCCTTTCAGTGGAAGAAGATGATGACATAGCCAGTTCAAGTGAACTGCCCACGCCAACCCAAGACGTGACCTTCCCCTTTTGGGAGAATTATAGTGAAAAGCTTTATGGTTCCAGAAACTAGATGTTCTAAGGGAGTCTGTCAAAGAAAACTTGGTGTGATTCGAGTATCAAATGCTCGAGAACAAAGTTATTGAACATCAATGACGAGGTAAGTAGTCTATCTAGATACTTGTAGGAATAGTTTGAATTTCCATATGAACCTTAGTTTGAGTGTGAATTAAGGGAAAAGGAAAGAAAAACACTAAGAATCGTGAGTTAAGGCTCATAACCGAGCGATTTGAAGATTCTATTACTTGTTAAAATAACCTATTAAACTAACTTCACTACTCATAAACTTTTAAAATCGAGTATAATATGATATTTTAAGGGTATTATATGAAATTTTGTGGTCATTCGATGAGGAGAAGTGCCTAAACCAAGAAATGATGCAAAACTACTAAAATACCCCTATAACGATTTACCTTGGTTCAAGTCTCAAATGACCTTCAAATATCATGAAATTTTATAATAGGTCTCATTTCATGATGATCAAGGATTTTGTAAAGTTTCAAGATAATTGGAACACATTTGGAGGCTAAACTAAGAGTTATGGATAAAATGACCAAAATGCCCCTATATTTCTTTAAAATATTTCAAACTCAGGTTTCTAGTCTAGGGGCATAAGTTAATGCTAAAAATAAATATCTTTAACGACCCCTATCTAAGATCCAAGACTCTTCTAGAATTTTCTAAGAAACACATTATGAATTTATGATACTTTGAATAACTCATGCACGTTATTAAGAACTCAAGAATAAAGGATGTTCTAAGGACAAGAATCAAGGGAAGTCTATTATGACTTATGAGATTTAAGTAAGGCTTAAAAAAGTATGTTATGACTTATGTCTCAGGAATTAAGAACCCAAGATAATAAAAATGCTACATATCACTCAAGAATAAAGGACCAATGTCCTCTGACTTAGAAACCTAAGAAACTCCTAGACCTCCCACGATACAATATATTCATGACTCAGACTATTTTGCTTAGAACGTAAGAAACATTGTACGTAGATTTTCAGATTGAATCACTTGGAACATAAGAAGCCTTGGATGCAAGTTCAGACTACGTCACTTAGAACGTATGAAACCTTGCGCGTATGTATTCAGATTATGCCGCTTGGAATGTATGAAGTCTTTGGGCATAGGTTTTCAGACTGTGTTGTTTTGAACGTAAGAAGCCCCAGATGTAGGTTTAAGACTACACCACTTGAAACGTACTAAGCCTTGGATGTAGGTTTCAGACAGTATCATAAGGAACCCATGAAGCTTTGAATGCACGTTCAGACTACATGCTTGGAACACATGAAATCTTGGACAAAGGTTAAAACTATGTGGCTTAAGTCAAGATCCATAATTGAACTAGAACATGGATTCATATCTAAGTTCTCAAGACCCAGAACCTCATAATTAAAGTTCTTAGAGAAGAACTAAGGTTAAGACCTCAAAACCTAGAACCAAGATCCATGGGCTAGATCATGAAAAGAACTTAGAACTTAAGAACAAAACCTAAGACCTAAGTTCTCAGACAAGAATAAGAACAAGTCAATAAAGAGCGTAGTACTCTAGCATATCGATGACTTACAAACTCTTTTGTATTCATTCCTTGTTTTTCAGGTACAAAGAGCTGGTCGAAGACGGGATCAGACCTTGAAGTAGATGCCATAGTCAAGTCCAACCTCCTTTTTGTTTTAATATTTTTGTGTTTGTTCCTTATTTTGTGTTTAAAACCGCTTATGTATAAACTCTATTTCTATATAATGTAAAAAATACATCCGTCTTTTTACACTATTGAATCAACCCCAGTTGTAATATGTACTTCGGACAAGATCGAAATACTAGGTCATGACAAGAAATTTGTTAGGACTGGCATAATGACTAAGACTTTTAAAAGGTTGCAAGTACTTTTAGCGTGATAAATGATCTCCCTACCAATAATTATATACTCTGAGTCGTTGTTGTTGCCTTTTTGCTCGTATATATAATACCAATTTCAATTTCAATTTCTCAAATCTTGCTTTCAAAAGCTCTCCTTCAAAATCTCTCTTCCCCCGTTTTCGTTTTCTAAAACTTTCTTCTTGAATCAGGGGCTAGAGGGTCGAGCATACATCGCTTGGTCGTAAGCGACGTAAGAATTAATTGGCTTAACTCACTTGTTGCTAGGAAGTGAGTGTGGCACAATCACAAGTGCGCTGCCATCAAAAGTGCGATTGTGACATAATTATTACTATTTTTCTCTTATTATAGCGTTAAAATAAAATTAGCAAAATAAAGAACGTTGTTATTACAAGTTTCAATCATGAAAATCAATTTTTTTTATTTTATTTTTATTTTATATATATATATATATATATAGAAGATGTCACAATGATATTTTACAAAATCATTAAAAAAAGAAACGTAAATATTTTTCACAAAGGACCCAAAATGTTATGAAATAACCCTTTCTTTTTCTTCAGCGGCTTACCCTTCGGTTCTTTGCCAAAACATTACCCTCTCTCTCTCTCTCTCTCTCTCTCGCTCTGATCGATGGCGGCTTCGTCTTCGTCGGCATCACCCTACACTTCCGATTCATCGTCTTCCTCTTCTCGTCGTCGCCGTCGCCGTAGAACTCGCCGTGAAAAAGATCGGGACGCTCTTAGGATTCGCAAGAAGTCTCGCTCTCATTCTAAGCGTCGTCGCAGGCACCGCCGCTCCTCCTCCAATTCTTTATCTTCCTCCGACTCCGAATCCGATTACTCCCGGTAACCTCAGCAAATTCAATAGTTTTTCTCCTATTATGTTTTTCCTTTGTTGTTTCTGATCTTTTGTTTCCTTGCTCGTTGTTTGATTGCTGTTGATTAGAGTTTGGATTGGGAGATTTAGGTTTTTTGAGGAATCTGTTGTGCCTTTTCTGATTTTTGTTTTTTTGTTTTTTTTGGTTTCCCGATTTTCTACTGGAAGTCATGCGATTTATAGCCCTTTCTGATTTGTTCTATTTTGGTTTTCCCGATCTCTTACAGGAAGTCATACGATTTATGTAATCTTAGTTATGATAGGTTGTTAGTGATTATTGATCGGAAAGAGAACCTTAGCTCTTGGTTCAGAATTGAAACGTATGCCTTTTTCTGTTTAGAAAGCTAAGAATTTAGGACTCATCTTGTGTATTTCCTACTCTTTTAAAAATATGAACAAAAATGTGATCGCGTCATGTTTTTATGTTACATTTAAAATTTTCAATATTTATATATTTTCTTTAAAATAATAACCGAAATAATAACCGAAACAAGAAATGAGATTTTCTTTGTTCTTAAATTCGTAACAAATACAATGTTAGTAATATCTGTAATAAACGAGAAACAAAGAAACAAGAATTTAAATTTTGTTTTTTTTCCCCCAAAATTTGCACACTGTGTTGGGTGCATTTGTTAAAAATGGGGACTGAGAAATATAGAATAGTTACTGAACCGTTTTATTTTTCAATGTTAAAAAACAAGTAAAAATGAAAACATTACCAAGTGATGTAATTGCTTTCTGTTTCTTCATTGGAATGTATTTTATGTAATGGCTTAATTATGCTAGATGTACTAAATATTTTGGCTGGTTTCCTAATTTATACTTTCGAAGATCTTGTTTTTCAGTGAGTGGTATTCTGGTTTCCTTGACAACTATTTTTTCTTAGCACATCTCATGAACCTAAGATAGTTTTTACTTATCCTTGTATATACATGTAGAAGCCATAGCTCTTCTCAAAGCGAGCCTGAAATGTCAGGCCGTTCAAAGCGGCATAAGAAGAATGATGGAACGAAAAAGGTAGATGCTTTAAATAGTCATTTTTATCTTTGGATTTATGTGTTGGCTTTGTAGTTCCACTTGTGGATTTTCACCTTGTTATTTTCACTCTTTTTTGTGCATCTTTGTATAAGGAGAGGGAGCGAAGTAAGAGTCAACACCATAAAAGGCGTAAGCATAAAGCTAAAGAGGTAGACCACTTGCCTGTTTGTGTACTATTTTTCCCTTTGTTGTTGTTAATGTTGTGCTTTCAATGAACTGAGAAATGTTATGGAAATTGCCTTGCTGGCATCATGTCTTTTACCTGTATCTACCTCTAGGCACTTTAGAACATATAGTGATAAAGTAGATGTAACTTTTAACACATGTATTCAATGTTTTAGATTTAATTCAGAAGAGGTGAGATGTAAGCTTCGAGGTAGTATGATAAGCCTCAGTTTAAATTAAAATATAAATGAACATATTGTGATAAAGATTTTAAGAAGATATTTAAGTTTCAATCTAAAATGTTTTTTTGTCCTGGGTAGTAAAAGTATTAACAACCTGAATTACGATAACCCGACTGTGTAAAGAATAAGCATCAAATGAATATTATTCTTCTAATCATTTCATGAGGTGTTAAGGCTCCAAGCATCAGTGTGTTCAAATAGAGTGCAAGCCCTCATTCAGAAAAATAAATTATAAAAATAAGTAGAGGAGAAAGTCTCATGTATGCTAGGCCTAACCACGTGCAATCTAAAGAAAGCATAAGCATTGGGGCTAAAATGTTGAGCCTCTAAGAAAGACAAGCACGCAATCTTTAGACAAAAGATGAAAGTACTGATCTATTTGCCAAATTATCATTATTTTTTTAGTCATGCAATCTTTAGACTACATCTATGATTTGTTTCTGAATTGGATATAGTGTTAGATGTTTGTATGACTATTTACTGATTGATTCTTTGAACTTGGAGTTGGGGTCTGTGGAATGATGATCGGGCTGTTGATTGATTTGCCTGCTGGTTTGTTGTGCGGATTTGTCCTGGCAATCGGAGTCGATTTATAGAAACAGCCAGAAGAGAGAAGTAGCAGCCCTGTGCAGCTGTCTAAGGTTACCTTAACACCATTGTTTATTTTCAGTTCTCTTCTGTTTTGGCATCTCAAATGTCAAATTTACAGTTACTTCATGTATTTGCAGTTTTTAGCGCGGGAGGATGATGGTACACGACGGAGTGCTGTCTCTGGCAAAAAGGTGAAAGATCCGCCTCTTCTTTCTATGTTTCGACATGTTATTGTTAAAACATCTTTGCCTTGTCCAAAAATACTTCTCACTCATCAAATTTGGGAATTTAAAAATGATTTTGAAAAAGGTCAAATGCGAAGTGTCACAAGTACATGGAATGTTGCTGCCATTGATAATTTAGTTTTTCACTATTATTATTATTTTTGCAGATATTGTTGAAACTTGATAAATCAAAGGAGGACAAAGCTGAGGAAAACAAAAGAAATGAATTGCTGAAGTTCTTGAACTCTAGCTTTGACTAATGGGTTGGGTATCCTTGAAATGAAGGAAAGAGGCAAATGATAGAAGAATGGAATATTAGCTGCTGCTGCTGCTGCTGCTGCTGCATGAAAAAATCAGTACAACCAATAGCTGTGTTGAATAAGTTGTAGAGACATTCAAGCTTGTGAGCTTTCTTCTTCCCTTGATTGATGTTTTGACGCATATGGATTGAGATCTATTTTAATTATGAAAAGGAATTTGATTTTATTTGATTGGTTGGGATGGAATGAATGATTGATTTATTGGTTATTATTCTGTTGGGAGTGGGTAACGCGGCTAAGTGTGCAAGGACAAGGTATTGAAAGATAAAAGTGTAATTGTGTGTATGGGAAGAGCATTGGATGGGAGTGTCTCCTCTCTAGTTTCCAACGCCACCTTTGTTGTGAGACATAATAATGTAGTTATTCTCTGATCTTTGCAGCCACGGTATCTTGTCTTAGAGACATTAGATCTTTGCAACCAACTTTTCCTTCCCGAAACAAGAGATATTGATGGTTCACGTATTAGACCAACGGAAGGGTTTAGGATATTCAATACTCTATGTTTTACGTAAGCCTATGATATTCAATACTCTATGTTTTATGTAAGCCTAGGATATTCAATACTCTTGAGGTTCATAACGGAAGGGTTTAGGATATTCAATACTCTATGTTTAACGTAAGCCTAGGTCCCTCGTAATATCTGTTCGAATTGCACCTCAATCTACATGCTCACAAGTTGAGCCTAAGATAAGTCTATTAAGTATGGAGGACTCTCTTTTTTGCCCTAACCTAATATACATATTCCACACCTAGCTATTTAGGGTTCCAAAGGGAGGATTTTCTCTAGTGGGGTTGTCGTTTTTTCACACATAAAGAGTAATTACTTTCGAGGAAAGACAGTAACTTGCTTGTTCATGCCCCCTCTTGGGCTAGGACAATAACTAATTGTCGCGTCGCTCTTTTGAGTGGAGATAGTAACTAACCGAGCTATCCCACTAGGCACAATAGAAACTATGTAACGACCTTAAATTTTTACTAACTTAAAGTTGCTACTATCATCATTACTTATGCTTTTATGCGGAATTAAACATTTAAAACGTCGTGAAACATAATTTTCATCTTAAAGCATAACTTCAACGAGATAAGGACTAATAATAAATAAAGCAAGTAAAACATTTAATGAAAAACATCAACCTAAGTCTAAGAAAATAAAATAATATTAATATTTTATGCACGGTCTTTGGTTGTGATGTGGTCGTCAGTCATATAGGGTGTCTTGCCTTTACCTGAAATAGAAGTAGCACATACTTGATTATTTTATGAAATAATTAGTAAGTGACCCCACTATTAGATTTAGAGAATTTAAATGCATGCAACTCATGATCTACGGGCTTATGTTAAAAACCATCGTATGGGTGCCCTCCAGTTTAGACAAAACTAGACGTGTAGTACTTCTTTACACATGACCCACACGTGCAAGCGTGGATCCCCAGATGGTTTGCACCCCCTGGACCAATCATAGTCGAGCTAGTTGTCCGTAACGACGTTTTTAAGTGTCATGTAAGACATGATCATCATCATAGTGTGTCTTGGGAAAAATCATCTTCATAATGTAGCATGACATTTAAAATATGCATTTCATCTTAATGTGGAATAACATCCTATTAAGAAACTTCATAATCTTACATCTTACATCGTCATGTTGTCATGCATCATCGTCATCATACAATATCATAAAACATTGAGTTTTATTCAGTTTCGGGTCTAACCCGAGTATTTTATCCTATGAACCGGAAACTGAACCGAGTCACTTCGGATCCAGAAAAAATAACTCGGGTTGGTTTGGGTTGTCGGATTAGATATACACTCCTAATAGTAGTTTGGTTAACAGGGGTAGAAAAAGTGGAGGGACCAAGCAATAATGATTTGGGGGAGAACTCTTTTAATTACAATTGACAATAATTAGAAAATAATTTAATGGAAAAATATGTAAAATCAACCGTTTGGGCAAAGCTTTATGTATGTAGTTATTATTATTATTTTTTATTTGTTGAGATTTAATGGGTATTATCGTCATTTCGCAACATATACCCCCGCCCCTTCTATATAAAAAGGGTTTTTGCGGACTTGAGAATTACAGTGAGTTCTTCAGAAATTCGTTGCAAATTCAAGTTTTGCGCCGTTTCATTTCAATATTTTAGAAATTAGCGTGTTTTCTTCTAAGTTGGGGTTTACTTGTTCATATTCCGCGCAGAGATCTTCTTGGAAATTTGTTTCTCATTAAAATCGTTTCCAGGATTGTATCTGCGCGGACAGCGAAATCATCCTTTCTGCTTGAGTCTTCTCTTCCTATTTTCAATGGAGATGCGCTCCAATGTAACTGGATTACATTAATTTTCTTCCATCCCCTATTATATTTTTCTGTTTTGAATTCTGTGTTTGATTGTCTTGCATGAGATTTCGAATCCATCATTTTTCAAATGGTTAAATCCCTGGTGATTTCTTTGCTTCTATCAGTATCGACGCATTTCACATGAGTTTTCTCATGAATAAGGTTTTCAGAGGGAAAACAAATGGAAATCGATGATTTATACATGAGGAGATGAAGGTTTCAAGGGATCTGAAATTCCTTGGCTGATATCAATTTGTTAGTTCGTTTCGTGGATGAATAACTGAGAGTTCAAAGAAATCTTCCGATCTGTAGGATTTCGATTCGATTGTTTGTGTAGATTGTTAATCCCTGATGATTTCCAAGTTTTCTTGTGAATTACTTTGTGAGAAAGAAGAAAACGAAATAAAAACTGAAGAGATCTGAACATAAGAATTGGTATTTACTCAATTGAATGTGTTCGTTCACCCTCTCTTTCTGTTTGGAGGATGATATTGATATGATAATTTACGTTAAAACATTTATTATGTTTTTGAGGTTTGAAGAGCCAGAAAGAAAGAAACAAACTACAACCAAACCATGTTTAGCTGGTGAGGTGAACATTCCCTTCAATTAAACAGTGATTAAAGGTCAAGACAATGCTGCATATCTGATCAAAAACGGCACTCATTTGGTGAACAGGAGATTGATAGCCAGGCTTGTCTTTGAAGCCCAGGTCGCAGGTAGCTACATCGCTCATGGCAGCAGCAACCCATGTCCTGACATCGTTAAAGGCTTTGAATTCCAAAGCAGTGACAGAATCTTCGATTTGGTCAGTAGCATCTTGATAATTCTCCAAGCAGTCCGTCAAGCATTCATCCATGAAACTGTCTACGGATGAGTCGTTTTGAAGTTTGTCTATGGTTTGATATATGTTGCTAACATTCTGTGCTGCAATGCTCAATGCGAATTGTGTTAATCCATAGAGATCTGCGTCATTGCTATTTGGTGCTGCTTGTAAGATTGCTTTGCACAGGTCGTTGTAAGCGGTTCTGCTGCAGGCTTTGGTGATCAGTTCATTGTCTCCCTGTGCTTGGAAGGAACAGAGGGAAACCACCACCAAAACAGCCACAGCGACTGAAATGGGCTTCATATCTTTTGTCTGTTCTTTGACGACTGAATTGGGATGAAAGCCTGAAATTTTTGTAGATGGAGAGATGAATTGAGTTTCTTGATGGGGGGGTTGTGTTTATAATGGTGGATTTGTTTGGTCCTCAGAGAGGGGCGGATGGCCTTTGGACTTGCTGTGGTTAACCGCTGTTTTTGGGGTGTTTTTTTGTTCCATTTCTGCTAGCCTATTGTTTGTTTGCCGGGTTTTTAGATTTTTCTTTTTTTCTTTTTTTCTTTTTTAATTCTTAAAACAAATTTCTCTTAATTGTTTTAATTAATTTGTTTTTACAGTTTTTTTCTTTTCTTTTTTTATTTATTTATTGAGTTTCATTTAAGAAAACTTATTAGCATTTTTTTTAATATTAAAACTATTATATGTATAGCTGCTTTAATCCTGATATATAAATTTTGTTGTAAAGTTCTAATAAAAATAAATGCCCTAAGGTGCAATTTTTTTTTTCCTACTATTTTTTTTAATGTAATTTACTCCCGACTAAATTTTCACATTTTCCGAATGATATTTCTTAACCTATTAGATACTCTAAAAAGTAATTTAGATTTTATGTACAAAAAAGTTATTTGAATAATTCAAGAAAATAGTCTTTCGTTGAATGTAATTACAGAGCAAGCTAATCTCCCATGAATGATGAGAGCAGAGCAAGCTACCTAAGTTTAAGAACAGAAAGGTCGTTTACCTCATAGATGAGATTTGTCACTGATTTGTCACTCTTGAAGACTTGCAACGTCAAAAATGGGTAAACTACTCCCCCCTCTCCCGACATAACAAATGGGTGAACTACTCCCTCCCAACCCCACCCCATACCCAGAGTGTGTCCGTGAGTAGCTAAAGTATCGCTTGAAACTTCGAGGCACCCCAGATACTAAGATAGTAGTAGAGACTAGGCCTGAATTTCCTAGAGCCCATAGTAATAAAGCTCATGGATATTTGCTAGGTTAAAGATGTTATGAAAGGTAGATTGCTTACCGAGTATATTGATATACTCACCCCTTTCCTCTTTCTTTTTCTAGTGTTCGTAGGCTGCTAATCGAGGTGGAAGAGTGTTCGAGAGCTGTACAGTCACAGAGGAGGTTGTTTCGGAGTCTGTACCTTGTATTTTCATGTTTGAATCTTTTGTATTTTGTTTTATCATTGTATCCCAAACTATTTTTCCCTTTGTAATAAATTTTGAACAATACCTTCTTATTTTAATTTTTATTTTGTATTTAATTTTGATGTTGGATTTATTTTGATTTAAATTTTATCGGATTTTTATCCTTTATTTTATTTTATTTTACCTTTTCTCTTATTTGCCTTTGTCTTCGTCTTTTTAGTCACCGTTAGGGTTTTGAAGCCTCAAAATTTGGGTCATGATTATAAAGAAAGATTAAATATTTCATGGGACTGTCTTATACAAACTTATATGATACTCTCACTCATATGTATCTACATGAATGGACTCAATTATTTATAACCATTACAAAGTGGGTTAAACAATTGGATATAATTATTTATAACAATTACAAAGTGGGTCGTATCAATAGTGTTACCGGGATAAGACACCCAACTGTTATTCACTCATGCAAATTAATTGTTATTCACTCATGCAAATTATCTGTTCTTCGATTTTAGCTAGTCGGTCAGCCTGGGACTTGCCCGGTTCTTTTGCAGCGGGCATGTTTGCATAATACTTTCTAAGGAGCCGAACCTGCTCTGATACCACTTATCACAATTACTCTTTTCATGTCAGCGGACTTGCAATTGTGCGGCACTCACTTCTCAGCAACAAGTGAGTTGTGTCAATTCGTTTGCGCATTGCCTACGAACGGACAACGTATGTTCGAGCCTCTAGCCCCGATTTAAGAACAAGGTTTTAGAAATCAAGGGCAGAGAGATTTTCGAAAGAGAGTTCAAAAGCAAGATTTAGTAAGAGATTGAAAACGGTGTTATATAGCATGTAGGCAAAGGCAACAACAACGACTTAGCAGTATATAACCCTTCGGGCAGGGAGAAGTTGACAACTAGTCATATACCCTATAGTACATTTTGGAGCAAATTAAGGGCAACAACAAACCGCCCCGTTTTTAAGTATAGTATCATGTAATAAATCTAAAAATCTAAAAATCTCAAAAATCAAATATACACTTTCAAAATATTTCAATCAAACTAAACAACAATCCAAAAATAAAAAAACTATTATTCTCATCCAAAAATCATGCAACTATCAGAGGACACACGAGGAGCAGCCATTGATATCAAAGAGAACATGAACGAATATATTGGAGAAGAGGATGTAGTTCGGGTTGCTAGGCTAGAGAAGGATAAAGAGGACGGAATTTTGTTGACCTAAAAATAATCTCGATTCGAGACAAAGAGAATGTTGAAAAAGATTTAGTTGCTATTTTTTATGTTCTAATTTCTGAATATATATCACTTATATGATCTTATGCCCATATCTTAAGACAGATTCTTTGTTTTGGCATGATATTCTGCTTTCCATTAGGATTTTATTTTTATCTTCCGTTTATTGTACTGCCTGTAAATATAGTCATTCTTTACACGTACTAAATTTCCTCATTCTTCTGCAAACTTATCTTCATTCCAATTTAACATTTGGTATCACAGTCTTGTCTCTCAGCTGCAACTAAAGATGACTACTGAAGGCAACTTTGTTCAAGTAGGAATACCAAAATTTGTTGGTCACTATGATCATTGAAGACAACTTTGTTCAACCAGCAATACCAAATTTTATTTGTCACTATGATCATTGGAGCATGTTAATGGAGAACTTTCTTCACTCCATAGAATATTGGATGATTCTGATTACTTAGATGAACCAAAGAAGGAGGTAGCAGATCATAAATTAAAAGAGTTAAAGCTAAGAACTACCTTTTCCAGACCATCGATCACTCCATTCTAGAGACTATTTTGGATAAAGAATCTTCGAAAGGAATTTGGGATTCAATGAAGAAAAAAAATTCGAGGAAATACAAAGATGAAACGAGCACAACTATAGGCTCTGCACAAGGACTTTGAGACCTTTCATATGAAGGAAGGCGAGACGATTTCTGATATCTTTTCTTGTACTCTCACAATTGCTAATAAAATGCGTTTCCATGGTGAAAAGATGAGTGATGTTAGCATTATTGAGAAAATTGTGCGCTCCATGACTTCAAAGTTTGATTACGTGGCTTGCTCTATTTAAGAATCCAACGATTTGGACATCATGGCTATTGATGAATTGCATAGTAGTCTACTGGTTCATGAACAACGTATGCAAAGACATATTGTGGAAGAGCAGGCATTGAAGATAACTCTTGACAGCAGTACAAAGAGAACAAATCGTGGAGGTGACACAATTCGAGGTAGAGGACGAGGATATGGGAGATCAGGTTTTAACAAAATTCTTGTTGAGTGTTTTTATTGTCATGACGTTAGTCATTTTCAGTATAAATGTCTCAAGAAGAGTAAGGGAAAAGAATCACAAACTCATTTTGCTGAAACATCTGAATCGCTGCTTCCGTTGGCGTATGTTGAAGAAATGGTAGAATAAAAGGAGGACTCAATAGATTATGTGGCACAACCTCCTGCTTATGTGGCACCACAGCAAAACCGAGTGGCAGAAAGAAAAAATCGCTTGGATGAGGAGGTTCATGTGGCAGCTTATGTGATCAAGGGAGATTTGGAGGATAGAAAAAGTACATCAGACAGAGGATTAACATAGATGCAGTCAGTTTTCACCGGAGGTGGTCCTCCAAATTTGCAGAATCTAGACTCGGAGAAGAAGATGATGATGAATCATCGCCTTCAGGAGTTGGAGAAACAACTTCTTGAAGATAACGACGACTATGATGGAAGTGATGCTGCGTCTATGATTACGAGTTCGACTAGCGTTTCGTGTGAGACGATGCATAATCTAATTAGTCCGACGGCGCCACGGAATCAGAAGTCGGATTCAACGTTGCTAACTACCTCTGCTTTGTCTTCTTGCTCTTCGTCTACGTCGTTCTCTATGGCTTCTCCGTCTTCAATTTCTTGGAAACAGTTTGTAATCGAGGCTGCGGTGGCAATTTTTTAGGGAAAATTGGAGGTTGTGGATGAGATTCTTGCACTGGTGGTTAAGATTTCGAATGCGAGAGTTAGTTCTGTGCAGAGATTGGCAGAGTATATGGATATGGTTTTCGTTTTGAAATCATGGGTAAATCCAGCGAAATTTTCGCCTCTTGTGGCGGAGATTTTCAACGACGAGCACTCAGCAGCGACTCAATCACTTTACGATGTTTCTCTTTGCTTTAAGCTTGCCTTCATGGCGGCGAATCTCGCGATTCTTGAGGCATTAAAGGAAGAGGATCCACATTGTGGATTTCGATATCAGGAAGGGAGGTCAGTATATGAATCTAATCCACCTTCTCTCAGGTCGTCATGAAATCGACGGCGGTTGTGGAGGAGAACAGCGACACCTGTCCATACAGCTCATACAGCTCCCAACTAGTAAGCAGTTAGCCTTCCTCTGGTCGTGGGTTCAAATCCTACTTGGGGAGAATTTTGAGTTCTCGCTTTTCTGACCTAGCGACCCCTGTCCTTCTCCTGAGTTTCTAAACGGGAAGAATCGTGGGACATCAAAAGTGGGAAGTTGTTGGTTTTGATTCCTCACTCTCGTATAGAAAAACTGGGTTCGTTCAATTCTTAGGGAGAAGAAGGATCCACTGGGAATGAATGGGCAACCATCAAACCAGAGACCAAAGCTGGGCTCGACAAAACGGAAAGTATCATGGTACGTCGTCCTACTAGAGACCAAAGCTGGGCTCGACAAAACGGAAAGTATCATGGTACGTCGTAGGACGGACGACCGCCTATAGGTGGTAGGGTAGGGTGGATGGTACCGCTCAGATTGTGGCCAATCTTCCTAACCGCGTGCGGGCCGGGCTTAGAGCGCGTGAAACTCATAACTACCTCGTAAGGGCGTTGAGACCATAGCATGTTACACGAAAGCGCCGCTTTCTCTGTAGTCTTGTCACGGGCGAAGTCGGAACTGCGCGACCTCTGGAGCGACTATCTTAGTCGTGGGATCGGCCTCTCGCCTAAGGTGGGTGCACGGAAGGGTGAAGGCGAAACTCGAAAGGAATTGACTGATTCTTTTTCTATTTCCTCTTTCATTTGCATTTCCAAATCTCAAGTCAAGGCGAATGGCGAAAGAAGAGAGGTTGAAACAGGTTGGCAAGTCACTAAGTCAAATGGCGAAAGAACTCGGCGTCGGGTTCAAATTCAACATGGTAAATCAAGAACCATCAGAAAACATTGTACTAGCTATAAATATAGTCATTCTCCATATAAAAATAATTTAGAAATCTATTTTCAAAAGTTACTAGGGAGTTTATAGTCATTTTTAGAAAAATTGATGAATACTAAATTTTACCTCAAAAGTTTGGTAATTAAAAATTTATTTTTAATAATTTTGATTTTTTTAATAATCTAACGTCATGCATTATTAGTATAATACATGGCTCACATATGGGAGGATCATGTTCAAGTAATAACCTATTGATTAGATTGGGTGTCTTGTCTTAGAAACACTATTGATACGATAGTGCATGACTCACATATGAGAGGATCATGTTCAAGTAATAACCTATTGATTAGATTGGGTGTCTTGTCTTAGAAACACTAGTGATACTATCTATTTTATAATTGCTCATGATTTGACCCAAATAGTGATTCTCCAACTAACTTAACTATAAAATAGTTAAACTTAAAAATATTATTAAAATTTAAATAAATTTAAGAGAAAAGTAAATTTTAAAAAGTATCTTTTTTTATTAATTTAGCCTTTTATTTAAAATAAAAAAGCTTGGTCCGCTTTTAAAGATGAACCGAGAAAACTCCGGTCTTGAGAACCCCATTTATTGGCCTTCATCTCCTCACCTAAATTCGCACTGTTTTCTACGTTCGATCTCTGCGTCTTCATTCAATTCACCTTCCGCTCTATCAAAGACGAAGAATCCAAAGCAGAGAGTGAAAAAATCAAGAACAATTTCAACCCATCGCCATGGATTCGATCCAGCACAGAACCGTGAGCGTCAATGGTATAAACATGCACATAGCCGAGAAGGGCGAAGGCCCAATTGTGCTTCTCATCCATGGCTTCCCAGAGCTTTGGTATTCATGGCGCCATCAGATTTTGGCGTTGAGCTCACATGGGTATCGCGCTGTGGCGCCGGACCTTCGTGGGTATGGCGATTCTGATGCTCCTGATTCACTTTCTAGCTACTCTATTATGCATATTGTTGGGGATCTTGTTGCTCTTGTTGAGATTCTTGGAGTTAAGGAGGTTTTTGTTGTGGCGCATGACTGGGGCGCAATGATCGCATGGTGTTTGTGTTTATTCCGAGCTGACATTGTTAAGGCTTTTGTGTGTCTGAGTGTGCCGTTTAGGCCTAGGCATCCCAAGGTGAAGCCTGTTGAGAGCATGAGGAAGTTTTTTGGAGATGATTATTACATTTGCAGATTCCAGGTTGATTTCTTTTTATATATGTAAAATTCTTGCTTGCTGTTTGTTCATAACGATTGAGATTTGTCTGTGTTTTTGCCATGGTGATTATAATGCACCAAAAACACTTCACACACTCGTAAGTAAGTTCTTTCGATAGAATTGATAATGAGTGAGTGCTACAAGATATTGTACTAGGTACTCATGATTATGGTACTGAAGTTAGGAATCGGAATCACGACTCTTCACAATAGTATGATATTGTCCACTTTGAGCATTAGCTACCATGGCTTTGTTTTGGGCTTTCCCGAAGGCCTCGTATCCTTGTTTATAAACTCATGATCGCTCTAGTTTTCTTTAGATCATGTCCCTTTTTTTTGCTTTCTGTTTGGGAAGGGATATGCATAAGAAATTTGTATTTGTTTCAGAATCCAGGAGAGATTGAAGAGGAGATGGCGATGGTGGGTGCCAAAGAAGTGGTAAGAGGCATTTTGACAACAAGAAGAACAGGCCCTCCCATTTTTCCTAAAGGACAAGCCTTTAAAAGCAGGCCTGAATCCTCAACTCCCTTGCCCTCTTGGCTTTCAGAAGAAGATCTTTCTTACTTTGCCTCCAAGTTTGAGTCCAAGGGCTTCACTGGACCACTCAACTATTACAGATCAATGGACTTGTAAGTCACCAATTACACAAACTGCTGAGTTTTTGGTTTCAATCTTATGTCGTAAATGCTACAAGATCTCGTGCATTACAGTAAAAGTTAGATTAGGAGCTTAGGTGTTTGATTTGTATATGGAATTTTGTGTAGAAACTGGGAGCTGACAGCCCCATGGACAGGGGTTCAAGTGAAAGTGCCAGTGAAGTTCGTAGTTGGGGATGTCGATATGGTGTATACGACACCAGGGGTTAAGGAGTATGTGAATGGAGGAGGTTTCAAAAAAGATGTGCCATATTTGCAAGAGGTTGTGGTAATGGAAGGAGTTGGGCATTTCCTGACCCAGGAGAAGCCTGAAGAGGTTAGCTCTCACATCCTTGACTTCATCAAAAAGTTCTAGTCGCTTCTACAAACCAGAACAGAACAGAGTGTGTTTTTCAGTTAATTAGGGTGCTTGTTTGCTTTTTGAACGACATGTGGATCGAAAATACATGTTTTAGACCAGTTAAGTTCCACTCTGATTCGTCTGATCTTTGGTAGGTGGTCGTTTAAAATATGTAGACTGTACGAAACCTTATCGTGTTGAATGGAATAAAAAGTCGAACAAAAATATGTTGGGTGTTTGTTGTTTTTCATGGATGGTATGTTTTTTAGATTAGGAGTTCTTCCTCGGAGAAAAGTCATTATACCAACATATTCTCCCTTTTTTCCTTGCCATTATCATTCTCTTGGATTATTGGTTTAATTTGTATTTAGACACAACCACGATTCTGCCACAAACGTTGGATGAGGATGTGCCAAAAACGCCAACCAGTAGGCATACTGAAACTGGGGAGTACTACATCCCAAAACAACCACGATTCAATGTCACAAGGGAAACGTTGGAAGAGGATATGCCAAAAACGCTAACCAATAGGCATACTGAAACTGGAACTAGGCAAACGTTGGAAGAGGATATGCAAAAAACGCCAACCAATAGGCATACTGAAACTGGAACGTTGTCACGACTAGGCAAGAGGAAAAGATCTTCATGACTGGACAATGATGGATATGCATTGCGAATGCAACAAATATAAAAGGGGAGGACAAAATATGGACTTAAAAGTCTTAAATGTTTTAGAGCATAGAAATTACCTAAATAAAAATGAAGTTATAGATATTAGAAATATAATCCAACCAATAGTATTCGGTTAGATGAAATAGATTCAAGAAGAAGAATGGTGTACTCTATTTATTAGAGATGTTAATATGATCTTTTTTAGAAAAAAAAATCAAAATCAAGGTAACATGCTCATATTTCAATGAAATTCAAATCAAATGGACATCACACAATGTCTAGCCAAAGGAACTCAATAAAGTCTGCCTGAATGCCATTGAATCAAGTCCTAATCAACAATATTTTGACAAAACAGTCAACTGAAGTAACTAATTTTGCGATATCGAGTTCAGAAAAACACACAACGATTGAATTAGCTTGGAAAATATGATGGAATCAAACCCTGTATCCCCTGCTGTTTCTCTTTCCTCTTGCCCTCTCAAACTTCCTTCCCTTGGACCTCACATAAGGCTTGGAGTGGCTGTGGGGCACACCTGGTGCTGGACCAAAATGCTTCACGGCCTCTCTGGAGTTCTTGGAACCTCTAAGGAGAACCTGCAAATGAACCCAAAAATAATAAAAATGGAGCCAACAGATTATTCAAATCCCTATATACATCTAAAGCATAGCCTGAAACTCTCTAATTTTTCCACACATTCATCAAGAACGTGAAAGTTGTGGCCTAAAAATAACTTGGAACATGAAAATATTCATACCGTGTTCTGACCCAGAGGAGCCCTCAAAGCAAGCTGATCAAATGTCAAACACTCACCACCAGCCTTCTCAATCCTTGCCCTTGCTGTCTCTGTAAATCTCAGAGCAGCAACTTTCAATGCTGGAACTTCATAGACGCGAATATCATCAGTAATAGTCCCAACAACAACGGCAATTTTGCTTTCCTATTACATTACCAACAAATATAAGAGGTTTTAGACCTCCCAGCATGCACAATCAGTTACAAACAACCAAAATGAACTTACAATATTACATGATGAAACTAACCTTTCCTTTCATGAACTGGATAAGCCTAGAGAGAGAAAGTGGAGGCTTGTTGACCCTGCTCATGAACAAGCGCTTGAGAATCACAGCATTGAACTTGCTTCCAGTACGACGAACAAGGAAGCGGTAAAGCTGAAAAGGAAAGCGAGAAATCACTTCATTAGTCAATACAAGTTAGGTGAAACATGTGTTTTTGAAGGCAAAAAGAACGACTCTATTCAAGAAAATGCCCACACAATAAGCTTCTCTTTCCAGATTACATAGAGAACTAACATTAGGATATTACAAAAGTGCACACAAACAGACATGATTAGAAGACTCCTAGAAAAAGTCAAACCAAAATGTACAAAACTTCTTTACATTCTAAAGGCATATGTTCAGAGTCCTTATGATCTGGAAAAAAAACAACAAATTGAACAGTTTAAAAGGGCTTAATTGCAGAAGGGAGAAAATGATCTAACTTCATAGAAATATTTCTATTTGTATGGAAAAAATAACAAAAGCATAAACCAAAGATATAATGTACACCCATCCCACTCAAGTGAAACAAATGCAAATGAGCACAAAAACTTAAACCTTGGAGTCAGTTCCCTCAGAACTACTAAAGAAAAGATCAATCACAAAGTGATCAGTATTAGCATGGTCAAGTTAATCATCACTGGGAACCTTTTAATTTTCCGAAGGAAACAAAACAAAAGATGAAAAGTACGGCAAATTGTTATCAATATATGATTACATTTAGTGCCTACGAAGGGAAATAATATAGGTAGCATGGCATTCTATGCATTCAATATAAGAACAGCTAAGCAAACGCAGTTACAGAAGGCGTTAACATTTGAGTACATACTAACTTCAACAGTGAAAACATGTTACCGATAATAGTTAAAAAGAAAAAAAAAAAAAAAAAGATAATGTAACTGGACTTAAGGCTTAGATATTGTGGGTAAAGACTATTCCCCGACCTACAAAAGGTCTCATCATGAGCTGGGATTCACAGATATCATCAAAGCAGTAAGACCAGTCATCGAACCAATTCATTCGAAAAACAAAATTAGGCATCCACAAACAGATTAGACAAGCACAAGAGATATAGAGCAAAATAATAAAACGTGGAAGGAAATCAAATAAGGGGAAACAAATGAGTCTTCTGTAAGGAACCGAAAAAAACCAACCGAGTGACATTTCAATTGACTTTCAATGGGAGCGGCATTAGACCACCTTCAGAGACATTTCAACACAATACTATATTTACACAAGCTCCGCAATCAAGAACCAAAATAAACCAAACCCTTAAACAATCAAGCATATGATATTTTTAAGCACCGGTAGATGAAACGAAAGTGGCTATGAATGGGAAATCGCGCTTAGGAAGTACCTTGACGAGTAACTTAAGGTAGATATCATCAGATTTGGGCGCAGTCCTCTTGGTCTTCTTGCTCTTACCTCCCGCTACGAGATCAATACCCTAACCACCGCAAGGAGTTCAACAGAAAGAGAAACACAAAAATCAGCCCTAGAAGGAAGAAACTTAAACAAAGGAGGCAGTGAATGAGTAGAAATTTTGAAGGTACCATTGCAGCTAGCCGAGTTTGCGAGACGCGTGGTGCAGCTGCTCGAAGGATGACGAAGGTGGTAATCAGGGTTTTTAAACCCATTTTATAGTGCTGGATCGCCCTGTGTCATTAGAATGGGCTGGATCCAGGCCCAAAATGATTAAGCCCATGGTCCACAATCTTGGAGCTTTTTTTGGACGAGAATAATCATATTTGTTGCATAATTAACAAATTTATATTAATTTAATAGCAACTAATATAATGGAAGGTAATTATTAATATTGATAGTTAAATAAACAAAACATTAAAAAACAATTAATTATATAATAAAATTATTCGAAATAATTACAAGAATTAATCACGGATATTATTGATTTATGTGAACTTTGTCGTGCAATATCAAGCATAACTATCTTCGAATTTTATGGATTTTAATCCCAATTTTTAACCAAACCCTCCAATACAATTATCTGTAAGGGGTCGTTTGAGGTGTTGAGTTGAGTTATGAAGCGGGGGATTCATAAGCTTTTCAAGTTAATAATTTAGTGTTTTGGGAGGTTGAGTTTTGATGTGTCGAAGTTTGTATTTAGGATGGTGGGTTGCGCTGAATTTTGAAGTTTGAGTTTAGCTTTAACACTGAATTGCCTAAAGTTCTAAAGTCGAACAAAATATGTAGCTCTTATTTAAGTCCACAATTTGCTCAAGTTGGTCCACTCCCTCCTTTCCTCTTGTCACCGTTAAATTTCTGTCCAACCCGACTTTGCAATTGAGTTGTTTGCATATCCCTTGTGATCATATAATTTTAGTCATGGTTCTTTTCCTCTTTTCTAATTGCAACCAACAATGTTGGTTCCTGTAGGCATACGGGTTGACATTTCCAACGTGTTCTCTTCCAACCCCTACCTTGTGGTATTATTGAAAATTTAAAAATTCTAAAGCTTTTGTTCTAGAAATATTTTTATGAGAACTTTTCTTTTCAATTTTTCGTTAAAAGCAATATTTATATGTATTAAACACAAAATTGATGAATTTGAAAAAGCAAACAACTTGAACTAACTCAACGATTAAAACAATTCTACTTCTAAGACGTTCTAGGATGGTGTAGAATCAGAACTATGACATACCTTCCATAGACCGTCGTTAAGGTACTGCATATTGTCCACACCGATCCCTTTGTTTATCGCCTTTCTGTAAATTACACACTAGTGATTTTCTTGGTGAAGCCAATGGCAAGAGCATGTTCCTTACCTTCTGCCATTATTGCCTGAGAATGTTTGATTCTGTATCAGAATGCATTCATCAAACAACAACCTTAAAATCTACTAAACCCAACAGACACCAACTGTATCACCAATGAAGAATTCGAGTCGGTGGATAAGAGTGCAAAAAAAGTTTACCACTGCATCATCCAACGCACCCCCAAGGGATGTAAGACCAGGACACATTATAAAGAACAATTCTGCTACATCGCTCTACCCTTATCCTGAAAGGAAAAGTTCATGAGGATCTCCTAATTCATAGAGTGAAAGCCCTTGTTACGCACCACAACAACCCCAAACATGCTAAAGCACTGACTTCAAAGAGAATAAGTGAGCAAACAGTCCACAACAAATGTTATAGATCCTTCGCTTACCACCGGAGAGGAACATACTATTGCGAGCACAAGACAAAAGGAGAATGTTGCTGTAAACGATCCTGGTATTCGCTCTCCCATGCAAAACTTGCCGAGCAAAGAACTTCACTTAAGGATTTTAAAGCTGAAGCCACTGACAAGGAGAAGGAGAGCAGAGGGTGTGGAAGAGAGATCAACAAGAGAAGCCCTCCAATGAATTAGGATTCCAAATCCAAATATCCCTTCTCCTCGTATAAGGATCATGGTGTTCCAAATGTTCCAACCGGACCTATTACACAATTCAAGGTCAAGAAGATTCAACCAACATTCATTCTTCATCTACAAAATTGGATAAGCTCGGTTCAACCTCCATTTCATGTGTTACAAGTTGATTTGATTGAGGAATGACCCTTTGAAACTTCAAAAGTGAATATTTGCATGGTTGGAGTGGAGGTTGAGATTGCCACTTGATTGACAATTTATTTGCAAACTTTATTTATTATTTTAATTCCATAACTTCTTGTAATGGGTAAAATGGTGGAACGATAACTCCTTTTTTAATGAACATTTTAAGGGTAGTGAGGAGTAACTTACCAATCATGACCACCACCAACTTTCGTTAGTGGGCATTTGAAGAGTTAGAAGTTTCTTTTGTGGAGAGACTATAAATACCCACAAATTAGTAGGTAAAACGCAAATTTTTAATGAATGAAATTGAGCTCAAGTTGTGACTTTCACCCTTAGAAATTTGAGCATCATCTTTGTCATTTTTAAGTTTCAAGCAATTGTTGTAATAGATTGCATCCGAGCCAATCAATCAAGTCTTGATCAAGCTCGATTATGGAGTGACTCAATTTAGAACCAGGTTCCAAATCTTACTACTAGATCTTTGATCGCAAGAGGTAATCTAATTCTAGTCTTATCTTTTAATTGATGCGAATTTTGTATAAGGAGGTGATAATTTCTTTGATTCAAGGGTTTTTACTTCAACAAAAGCTTGGCTTGTTGACCTGAGGATTAAGATTGCCTTATCAGACTATTGCAACTCTAAAGACTTGCATTCAACAAGGGTTGATAAAAACCCTAAGGGAAGTGAGGACACATAAGAGGAAGGAAAAGTAGAGGTTGGTGAATGTAGCCTCTTATCAGATAAATGATAAAGCATCTCACCCATCCATCCTATCAATCCTCTCAAAAGTACAGAACCCGTCCCTAACTAAACATTTAACAATTTGAGAGAATAAAGGGAAACCCAAAGCAATAGCTGTCAAGAGCTCTGTAATTAAAATGTTAGATACATAAAATTACTTTCCGAGGCTGGACACCCCTTCGAGGAGGTTGCTCTCCAGAGAAATTGTTTAAATACCAAATCTTTGCTCATACCCGAATATAAGTGTACAAAATTTGTTGTAGCCTCTTAGCTCTCGTCCTTGTAACTGGACCTTGAGATATGTAAATTTCTGGGTCGTGGTTCGTATCACGGTGGGTAATGAAACCACCAAGGACTGGAGACCCGAAAGAGGTTATCCACACCCTTCAAAATGACATTATTTAACCATGAGAAGGTTATCCACACCCTTCAAAATGACATTATTTAACCATGAGACTTTCCAAGTTTGTTGCTAAAATATTCTTTGAAAGAGTCTAATACAAGGGCATACAAAAAACAAGCTCACAATAGGAGTCCTCAACCACTTAAGCTACGAAATTAAACCTCAATCCAAAAGAATAACACCGAGTTGATAATTACAAAACGATCATTTGACAGACGGCCATAAAAAACACATTGGACCACACAACCTCCCACACCTCAAAACACGACCATAAAGACCTATTATACCACAAAAGAGTAATACCAAGTGGCTATCTTTTTGTTGCAGTCTGAGGTTGGCTCTTGGCTTTGGTTTTTGTTGTCGTACAAAAACAAAAAAAATTGACTATACTATGATGAAAACTTGGCAACAAGCTATCTTTCAGTCTTTGAATGTTGACTTGACAGTTCACACAGCTCAATCGAATTTTCGAGGAACTTGTTTCGAGCAGACAATATAGGAAGCGGTTATCACCTTGTTAAATGGAGCACGGTGTGATTAGTGGATGAAGTATAAACATACATTTGGTAATACAAAGAAGGGAATGAGGCTGTAAGTGGATATGGAGATTCCCCAGTAAAATGAATACACTTTGGCATATTGTAACCCTTAAAGTGTTGGTAGAGGACTTTCAAAAAATGGGATACAACAAATACAATTTTGATTACCTCCAAGGGGCAGATCAAGGTATTTGTAAGGCCAATACACATAGGAAACAGAGGTGAGAAGCCAACTAATCAGCAACATTGTGGCTCAAGAACGATAATAGCAACCTATAAAAAATGCCTAAAACTTTTTTATTGGAGTTTGGGGCTTAGGGGTTGGAGTCGTGTTGAGACCTCGAATTTTCAGCTTTCACTGTGAGGTGCAGCTTTTGCAGTTCAAAAGGCCGATTTTAGGTTGCTTCGGCCTGTTGTTGTGTTGAGATCTGTGTCGTTTGTTCTTCGATGTTTTATTTTATTCTCTTGTAATATTTGGACTTCTGTTCTTTACTTTGGTGTTTTGTTTCCTTCTCACTCCCTTTAGGAGTTCAATGCAACAAAATTCTCTATAAACCTTAGATGTAAAAAGCGAAATGAGCTAATAAGGCAACCCTAATCCTCAGCCCGACGATCGAAGCTTTTATTTTAGCAAAAACCCTTGAATCAAAATAATTAACACCTCCTTATGCGAAATTTGGATCAACCAAGAGATAATACTAGAATTAGATTACCTCTTACGATCGAAGATCTAGAAGCAAGATTTGGAACCTTGTTTTAAATTGAGTCACTCCACAATCTAACTTGATCAATGCTTGATTGAATGGCTCGGGTGCAATTCTCCACAAGAATTGCTTGAAACTTAGAAATGACAAATATGATGCTCGAATTTCTAAGGGAAACGTCTCAATTTGATATCTGAATTACATTCATCAACGAATCTGATTTTTACATAACATATTGTGGGTATTTATAGTCTCCCAAGAAAAGACGTTTGTGGTTGGGATTCAATCCTGATCCCCTTTAATCTCCACAAATGACGAAGTCAATTTTGACCAATTGACCATTGCAAAATGAAAACAAAAAAACAATAAAATCTTTGAACAAATGTTAGTATGTTTGAGTGGCTAAAGAAATAAACTTGAAATCTATAAGGGTCATCCCCTCTTGGATGTAACTTTGTCTTCCGTTGAGATGGGAATCGCTCCTTGCGAAAATGTATCCAAACCCAGTCACTATGTTTAAAAATGATTTCCTTCCGTCTTTTGTTAATCCTTGAAGCAACTTTGAAATTTTGGGTCTCAATTCTCTCTTCACCTCCTTGTGCAATGTTTTGATCAAGTCTGCCTTACTTGTGGCTGCGTTACTCACAAACATATTAGAAGGAATAAGAAGCAAATTCAGAGGCGTAAGTGGATTAAATCCATAAACAACTTCAAAAGGAGAACAATGAGTTGTACTATGAATGGCTCTATTATATGCAAACTCTACAAATGACAAACATTCATCCCAAGACTTAATATTCTTAGAAATAATAGCCCTAAGTAATGCTCCTAATGTTCTATTAACCACCTCAGTTTATCCATCCATCTGAGGATTACATGTAGTTGAAAACAACAATTTGGTACCCAATTTACCCCACAATACTTTCCAAAAGTAACTTAGAAATTTAGCATCCCTATCACTAACAATTATTCTAGGGATTCCATGTAATCTTACTACTTCCCTAAAAAATGAGTCAGCAATATGTTTTGCATGGTCTGTCTTGTTACATGCAATAAAATGAGCCATCTTACTAAATCTGTCTACCACAACAAAAATACTATCTTTACCCTTTTTAGTGTGCGGTAAACCAAGAACAAAATCCATAGATATATTAGTCCAAGGTTCATTAGGTACATTCAAAGGAGTGTACAATCCATTTGGTTATGACCTAGATTTAGTTTCTTTGCATTTAACGCATTGACTACAAAATTTATGAACATCATGCTTCATTTTCGGTCAAAAGAAGTGTTTATGCAACATATTATAAGTTTTATTAATCCCAAAATGTCCCATTAAGCCACCACCATGTGCTTCTTTAACAAGCAAATCTCGGATAGAGCATCTAGGAATACAAAGCTTACTTTTCTTAAATAAGAATTCATGAAACACATAATAATCATCTACAGCTATTTTTGTAAGACAAGATGCATAAATAATTCCAAAGTCGTGGTCATCTCGATATAATTCTTTAATATGCTAAAATCCAAGAATTTTTGCACTGAGAGAAGTAAAAATATTGTACCTTCTAGATAGTGCATCAGCTACCACATTATCCTTACCTTGCTTATATTTGATGACATACAGAAATGTTTCAATAACTCTACCCACTTTGCATGCCTACGGTTCAGTTTGCTTTGACCCTTAAGATCCTTCAAGCTTTCATGATCAGAGTGGATCACAAATTCTCTAGGCCATAAGTAGTGTTGCCACACCTACAATGTGCAAACTAAAGCAAACAATTTTTTATCATAGGTAGGATAGTTCAATGCTGCCCCATTTAGTTTTTCACTAAAATACATTATAGGTTTGTCATCTTGCATCAAAACAACACCTATGCCCACCCAAACCACTTGCATCACACTCAATTTCAAAAGTTTTATCAAGTTAGGCAAGACAAGTAATGATGCATTGGTTAATTTATTCTTAAGCTCATTAAATGCATTCTCTTGCATATTTCCCCATTTAAAAACAACATTCTTTTTCACCAAGTCATTCAATGGTGTAGATATGGTGCTAAAATCTTTTATAAATCTCCTATAGAAGCTAGCTAACCCATGAAAACTACGAATGTCACTTGCATTTTGTGGTGTTGGTCAATCCCTGATTGCTTTAACTTTCTCTTCATCTACTTCTACTCCATTTTTACCAATTATGAAGCCAAGAAAGTTAACATTTTCCATGCAAAAACTACACTTATTAAAATTAGCATAAAGTTTCTCTTTTCTAGGTATAATCAAAACTAACTTAACATGCTCCACATGCTCATGCAAGGTCTTTGAATAAATTAAAATATCATCAAAATACACAATAACATGCTTTCCTAAATATTCTCTCAAAACATGATTCATTAAGCGCATAAATGTACTAGGAGCATTAGTTAACCCAAAAGGCATAACAAGCCATTCATACAATCCAAACTTAGTTTTGAACGCATTTTTCCATTCGTCTCCTACATGCATTCTAATTTGATGATATCCAGATTTCAAGTCAATCTTTGTAAATAAACATGAACCATGCAATTCATCAAGCATATCGTCTAGCCTAGGAATAAGATGTTGATACTTTATCTTGATTTTGTTGATGGCTCTACAATCCACGCACATGCGTCACATTCCATCTTTCTTCGACACCAATAAGATTGGTACAGAACATGGACTCAGACTCTCTCGTATATAGCCCTTCTCCATAAGCTCCTCTACTTACCTTCGAATTTCTTTAGTCTCAGTTGGGTTGGCTCTATAAGATGGCTTATTAAAAATTATCGCCCATGGAATGAAGTCTATTTTATGTTCAATACCTCTAATTGAAGGTAGTCCTTTAGGGACTTCATCTTGGAATATGTCATCAAATTCCTGTAAAAGAGATTGAAACATACTAAGCAAAGACAAATTATTATCGTTAGAGACCAAACATCCTTCATTGTACACAAGTACAAAGATGGTTTTTTGTGAGAACTTTGCCCTTCTAACCTCTCCAACAACAACTCACATTCTTTCCTTTTTCTCCAATTTCATTCTTTTTTTCACTATGGTTTTCTCGTTGACTTTTATCTATTTTTTCACTCAACTCTTTTTCCTCTCACTCTTTCTTTTTTTCTTCCAACTTTAATTGATCAGCAAATACATTTGCAGAACTCAAAGGAACAAGAGTGGTTTTTCTACCATCTTTTACAAAAGAATACCGATTCAAATAACCATCATACATAACCCTCCTGTCAAATTGTCATGGTCGGCCAAGCAATATGTCTCCAGCATGCATTGGTAAAACGTCACAAAGAACTTCATCTTTATATTTTCCTAAAGTAAAAGATATTAAAGCTTGAGAAGTTACCTTCATTTTTCCATTGTCATTGAGCCATTGAAGCTTGTAAGGTTTTGGATGGTGTTGGGTTGGAATTAGCAACCTTTTGATCAGCATTGTACTTACGACATTGTTGCAGCTTCCACTATCAATTACAAGACTACAAGGAGTTCCCTTAACTAAACACCTTGTGTGAAATAGGTTGTCTCTTTGATCATCAACATCATTCTTTGTAACTTGAATTTTAAGAAGTCTTCAGGTTACAAGTACCAAACGACTCCCATCTTCTAGTTCCTCCTCATGCTCCTGGATTTCCTCTTCAACTAGCTCATCATGGTCACTTTCCTCACAATCTGTGACAACTTGTCCATTCTTGATGATCATGACTCTCTTGTTAGGACAATCACGATTAAGATGACCAATTCCTTAACATTTCCAACATTTGATGTCTCTATTTCTTTCTCGAATCTCCTTATCCTGAAAGTACTAGACTTTGAAATACCATACCTCTTGGAGTTCTCCTTCTCCCAAGCTAGTTGCCCTTCGATTTTGAAGGCAAGGTGTAACAATTCTTGCATATCAAAGTACGCTTGCCTATCCACTTGATGAGCAAGTTGTCGGTTTAACCCACCAAGAAATCTAGCCATTGTATCTTCCTCATCTTCATTAATACATGCTTTATTCATAAGAGTCTCCATTTCTTTATAATATTCTTCTAACACTTTTGGATCCCTGTTGTAAAGTATAGAGTTTTTGCTCGAGTACTCGAGAATAATGCTTAGAATGTACCTTTTTCTCATTAATGTCTTCAATTCCTCCCACGTTTTAATTGGTTCTTCATAATTTCTCCTCCACTCTTATTTCAAAGATGTCTACCATATAATGGCGTAATCACAAAATTCAGCTACAGCAAGCTTCAACTTTCTTTTTTCACTGAAATTGTTGCAATCGAAGACATGCTCAATTTTGCTCTCATATTGCAAATACTCCTCTTGATCAGATTTTCCATAGAAAGTTGTAATTTTTAGCTTTACTCCCCGACTCCTTTTTCTTTTTCTCTCTCATACTGGTACTCCCTCTCAATTCTTTTTGGTGCTAAAATTTCTCTACCCCTTCTTCTGACTCTTCCTCTCCCTCGACCGACATCTCTCCCTTCCCTAGGACTATGTCCCGCTAAAAGGGTGACATTGTCATCTTCTTCATTTTCAACTCCTTCATTCAAGAGTACTTCCCTCCCTTGAAGATTACCTAAGGCTATTTCAATTGTGTTCATGGACAAATTTAAAGAAAAGACAAACAAGAGCAGAAATGAAAGATAAAATCAATTCTAGAGTCGGCCACAAAGATGTAAGCCTAGGCTCTGATACCAAGCTAATAAGGCAACCCTAATCCTCAGCCCGACGATCCAAGCTTTTATTTTAGCAAGAACCCTTGAATCAAAATAATTAACACCTCCTTATGCGAAATTTGGATCAACCAAGAGATAAGACTAGAATTAGATTACCTCTTACGATCGAAGATCTAAAAGCAAGATTTGGAACCTTGTTCTAAATTGAGTCACTTCACAATCTAACTTGATCAAGGCTTGATTGAATGGCTCGGGTGCAATTCTACCACAAGAATTGCTTGAAACTTAGAAATGACAAATATGATGCTCGGATTTCTAAGGGAAACGTCTCAATTTGAGATCTGAATTACATTCATCAACGAATCTGATTTTTATATTGTGGGTATTTATAGTCTCCCGACAAATGACGTTTGTGGTCAGGATTCAATTCCGATCCCCTTTAATCTCCACAAATGACGAAGTCAATTTTGACCAATTGACCATTGCAAAATGAAAACAAAAAAAACGATAAAAATTTTGGTAAACATCCTTCAAACCGCCAGCATTAAGAAATGGAAGGTGTCTTGGCTTGGATGAACTTATCCCATAGAAGCGATTTACAGGGATCTATGCCTCAAAGTGGCATAAACCACACTTCAATCTTCCATTCAGGAAATAAAAATAAACTTTTTATAAAAAATGAACTATGGGAAATAGTGACTTGGCTTTCAATCCAAATACACCACAAAGGCTTTACTTGCATTCTACAAACATATTGTGGCTTCACCGCCCCATCTCCCATGCACCTATTACATGATCTAAGGCCAATAAGATTCAACAAGCATTCATTCTTTATCTACAAAATTGGATAGACTCGATTCAATCGTTATTTCATGCATTACAAGTTGATTCGATTGAGATAGGACCGTTTGGAGCTTCAGAAGTGAATATGTGCACACTTGAAGTAGCGGATGATGTTGCTGTAACTAGCATTTGATGGATAATTTGTTAGAGAACCTTATTTATTATTTTAATTCCATAATTTCTTGTAGTGGGAAAAATAGTGGAAATTTACTTGTGAAAGTGGGTCATAACATCTGTTTTTGTGGAGATTTTAAAGGGTAATGGGACTAACTCACCAATCATGGCCATCAACTTCCTTAGTGAGCATTGGAAGAGTTGAATATATATTTTGTGGATAGGCTATAAATACCAAAAAAAAAAAAAAAAAAAAATTATGTAAAAATTTGATTGGTGAGAAATGAAATCAAGATCTCAAATTGAGACTTCTACCCTTAGAATTTGAGGGTCATTGATGTCATTTCTAAACTTCAAGCAATTCTTGTGATAAATTGCATCTAAATTATTTAAGTCTTGATCAAGTTCGATTGTGGAGTGACTCAATTTAGAACAAGACTCCAAATATTGCTTCTAGATCTTTGATCTTAAGAGGTAATCTAATTCTAGCTTGATCTCTTGGTTGATCCAAATTTTGTATAAGAAGGTGTTAATTTCTTTGATTAAGGGTTTTTGCTTCAACAAAAGCTTGGATTATTGGGCCGAGGATTAAGATTACCTTATCACAAATTATGCCAATGGGCCATTAAAGGAATACCACTCAAATGACAGGAGAGTTCAAAGGATTGAGAAGAGAATATTAAATAGATGTTACTAAAAAGATAAAATGTAGCCATGAGAGAAAGAAAACATTACATTGGTGAAGCAACCTTAGGGTAGGCATGTAGGGGCCATCACGGATATTAAAAAAGAGTGGCACATTGTTCACAACAACCAGATTGAGATGGTTCTGACTATGAGAGGAGTTCAAAAACGTCCAATATGAGCCTCATAGTTACAATCAGAGGAGCTTTCTTAGGAAGCAAATCATCCAAAACGGGTTCTAGTCCTGGATACTGCAATAAGAAGACATAAAATAGATAATGGCACCAATTTCAATCTCGTTAATATGATTATGAGATTCAAATACCTAAGCTAATACTCACTTCTTCTGCTATACTTTGTCGAATTCTCCGGTGTAGCGATGCCTTGCCTTGATTCTGAGCAGACACTTCTTCCGTAGAAAACCTAAAATGAAACAGAAACACAAAAAACAAAGCACAAATTTGAAGGATTATTATACAAACAACACCACTCCAAAAATTGAACTAAGAGAGTTTAAAGTCATAAATCGCATGTGTCAATATTTCCAAAACGTTCAAATTCAGACACAACAGTTCATCCACGGCTGCCGAAAAACACAATAAAATAGGAAACAGAAGTAAAAAAAGAAGAGGAGAATCAAACAAACGAACTCAGAATTGAAACGAGAAAGAAGAAAGCATTGAAGCAGAATCGAGAGAGCAGTAACAAGAAAAGAAGATAAGAAATGAAGAAATCCAACCATTTCCTCGTAATTTTAAACCCCAATAAACAAAACCCAGAAGTATTGTCCCAGGATCATTGAACGAAAACATGAAATCATAGGCGAATAAGGAGGAATATTAGAAATGGGAGAGAGCTCACTTTTTGAACATGATGCCGCAAGGGTAATTGAAGAGAATGGTTGTAAATAGGTGGGGGAAATCGGAAGAAAGAGGGAGCGGAAGGTGAGAAGAGAGAAGAGTTAAACCGACAGGCGGGCAGCGGGTGCGTGAGTATTATGCACTTGGGCCTGAAATTTGGGAGTGGTTGGGTTATTGTTGGCTTTATGAGCCCTGCAATGATAGCCTTCGGGAGGGGGGCGGTGCGGTAGTATCTACCAACACCTACACTAAACTGTATGTGCTCAAAATATGGGGCTTACACTGAATTTGATTACCCAAACTCTTTCATTTTAAACCAAGTTATCATGTGATACATGTCTTCTACACAATTAAAATCAAAACCCTTGTTAACATAATTAAAATCAATATCGTCAACTTAATTCCTCTATATGCATAAACTTCGTAAATAAAAGCCAACATTTTAGGTTTAATGCCTTGTATTATGAATTAACAAATATATTGTGACCCTATTTTAAAAATTATTATTTATGTTTAATAATAATTATTAGATCAATAGTACCATATTAGTATACCAATACTTTGAATATGTAAATACGTAGTATTAAATCATATTAGGATTGCATGTCACATCATCATGAATTATAATATTATTAAATCATATGACTAATTCTAATGTAGGATTGCATGTCACATGATGATAAATCATTCTCCAAGAACCAACTCATACACGTGGCTTTCAACCACTGAGAAGAAAGTTAAGAAGCCCATCTAAAGGATTCATTTCTATATATTCATCAGATCAGGTTCCAACTCAATACAGTACTAATATCTAAAAGTATCTCAATGAGTTGAGACTTCTTTATGAAGATATTTAATAGTGAGGAGGAGGATTCTAGAGATACACACATACCCATTCGACATCCCTTCAGGCACTGAAGTTTGCGTTTCCAAACCTATATTATTGTTTAATAATATTAGAGAATAAACCATTACTGCACAATCCAATGCTTACATGACTTGGGATCTATGAGGGACAGTGTTTCACTTCAACTTAGGATGAATTTAGTTGTGCTCAAATATACATTCTAAAATTCACAGGCACAAAGTTGAGCAAGCCAAGGAAGATATGAAATGAAAGATTGAAGACATTTTGGGTGAAATATGGTATTACTTGAGGAGTTGCGTCAAAAATCAAATCATGACAAAATGAGAGACAAGAGAGTCCTCAACCTAAATCAGTACAACCAAAAGGCATGAGATAGCGCAGCGCATAAACCAACCTAGACGGCAGCCAAAATATATATATTGTAATAAACTACTAACTGAAAACATAACATACGCGAAGGAAAAAAAATAAAAAACCTTGAAAAGATGTTACCGGCTTCACTACTAGAGACATCAAAATTAATCCACTTCCTCCATCTTGCTGCCCTCTGCATCGGCATCGGCATCGGCATCCTCAAGAGGAGGCATGTCAGCATCGGCTTCTCCAGCTTCCTCATCGATGCTCAATCCAAGCTTCAACATCCTGTGGATTCTGTTTCCGAAGGTGTTTGGGTCGTCCAGGCTGAAGCCGGAAGTGAGGAGGGAAGTCTCGAAGAGGAGGAGCACGAGGTCCTTGATGGATTTGTCGTTCTTGTCAACATCCGCCCTCTTCCTCAGTTCTTCCATGATGGGGTTCTCAGGGTTGATTTCCATTGTCTTCTTGCTAGACATGTAACCAGCCATGCTGTTGTCCTTCAGTGCTTGAGCCTTCATGATTCTTTCCATGTTGGCTGTCCATCCATATTCACCAGTTACCAAACAGCAGGGAGAATCCACGACACGGTCAGAGACAACCACCTTCTCAACTCTGTCGCCCAAAACATCCTTTATCACCTTGCAAAGCCCCTCAAACTTCTCCTTCAAAGCTTCCTTCTTCTTCTTTTCATCTTCGCTCTCATCCAGTTTCAGACCTTCCTTGGTTGCTGATACGAGCTTTTTGCCTTCAAATTCCTTCAGCTGACCAAATGCATACTCGTCAATAGCATCAACCATGAACAGAACTTCGTAACCCTTCTTCTTGAGCTTTTCGAGGAAAGGAGAGTTCTCCACAGCCTTCTTGCTTTCACCAGTGATGTAGAAGATGTCCTCCTGGCCCTCCTTCATTCTGGTCACATAATCCTTCAGGCTGGTCAACTCATCACCACTCTTGGTCGAGTGGAAACGGAGAAGTTCAGCAATCTTAGGCCTGTTCTGGGAATCTTCATGGATACCCAGCTTCAAGTTCTTGGAGAAGGCCTCGTAGAACTTGTTGTAGTCTTCTTTGTTCTCAGCAATCTCAAAGAAGAGCTCAAGGCACTTCTTCACCAAGTTCTTGCGGATGACCTTCAAGATCTTGTTCTGTTGCAACATTTCTCTAGAAATGTTAAGAGGAAGATCCTCAGAATCAACAATTCCCTTAACGAAGCCAAGGTATTCAGGAATCAACTCCTCGCAGTTGTCCATGATGAAGACACGGCGAACATACAACTTAATGTTATTCGGCTTCTTCTTTGTGTCAAATAGATCAAAAGGAGCCCTCTTGGGAACAAAGAGGATGGCCTTGAATTCCAATTGACCTTCGACAGAGAAGTGCTTAACAGCAAGGTGCTCCTCCCAGTCATTGGTAAGGCTCTTGTAGAAAGCAGCATACTCTTCCTTCGTAATCTCTTCTGGCTTCCTCATCCAGATTGGCTTCTGTTTGTTCACCAAGGACCACTCGTGAGAAACTTCCTTGATCTTCTTCTTCTTCTTTTCTTCCTTCTCCTTCTCCTCATCAACTTCCTCAACCTTGCCTTCCTCGTCCTTCTTCTCATCCTCATCCTCATCATCAGAGATTTCCTTCTCAGTGGTCTTCTCAACCCAGAGAGAAATTGGGTAGCTAATAAACTCAGAATGCTTCTTGATCAAGTCCTTGAGACGACGCTCCTCAAGATATTCAAGCTGGTCTTCCTTGAGGTGCAGGGTAATCTTAGTACCTCGGCCAAGATTCTCACCAGATGTGTCCCTGGTGACTGTGAACGAACCCCCAGCTTGGGACTCCCATACATACTGCTCATCATCATTGTGTTTAGTGGTAACAATGACCTTTTCAGCCACAAGGTAGGCAGAGTAGAAACCAACTCCAAACTGTCCAATCATGCTCACATCAGCACCAGCTGCAATGGCTTCCATGAATTCCTTGGTCCCAGATCTTGCAATGGTACCAAGATTGTTCACCAAATCTAATAACATAGACATGCTCCAGAAATGAGCTTATATCATATGGAAAATTAAAATGACAACTCTAAATACAAGCTGTAGAATGCAATCACTCACCAGCCTTGGTCATCCCAATGCCGCTGTCAATAATCGTCAATGTATTGTTTGCCTTATCAGGAATGATGTGGATAAAGAGCTCAGGCTGGGCATCTAGCTTACTCTTGTCAGTCAAGCTCTCAAATCGGATCTTATCAAGAGCCTGAAATAAAATTCCAAATCGTAAATTACAACAATAATAATTGGGGAAATTTCTGTCTTCATTATCCTAGATAATACATGAATCTGTAAAATCATTCAGCACCCTTAACACAAGAAAACGTGCTTTAGTTACGGAAAAATGAAAGAAATCATTCAACTACCCAACAAGGCTTCAAATATAATTCGTTATGTAGCCAGGAAAATTAGAAATAGTAAGATGTCAATGATGCAGGAAACATCGGAAGAAACAATCGTTCAATTGAAAAGCACATCACTAAAAATCCGACGAGCGTGTCTATAATCGAAATGAAACCAAGGAAATTCAGAATACGAATCAAATTTCATACTATACACGCAAAATCCCCTTAAGAACAGTAAAAAGAACGAAGATGAAAATTAAAACGAAAGAAAAGAAAAGATAATGAGATATACGTCGGAGGAATTGCTGATAAGTTCACGAAGAAAGATCTCCTTGTTGCTGTAAAAGGTGTTGATAATCAGACTGAGGAGCTGATTAATCTCGGCCTGGAATGCAAACGTTTCAGTATCTGCCATTGTTAGAGACGATTAACTGAACCGATCGAAGAACAGCAATGTAGGAAAATGGAAATGGAGGCTTGCAAGAAGAAGTCAAGATCTTTGGAGGAACCGCAAGTTTATAAAGGGTTTACTAGGGTTTCTGGAACCTTCTACGAGTATGATCTTTTTTAAAAAAAAATTTAAAGTATTATTATTAGTAGGATTATTCCTTGCGTGGCTTTAAGGAAAAATTCGAGAAAATGGGGTTTGGGAAAGCCTATTTCAGGACAGGGACAAGACAATCCGAAGCCCAGGCATTGAAAACCCGCAGCCAAACAAGGCTGTGAGGATTCTTTTATTATTATTATTATTATTATTCTTGAAGTTCAGCAAATTGTGAATTAATAAAAAATAGATTAAAAAAAACCACTCATAATAAACTAAATTAGTAGACTAATTTAAATTTAAATTTGGACTTGGCACATAGAGTTATCTTGTTACATGTTACTCACTGGTCCTGAAAACCTTTTCGTAAAGTAACCTTTAGTTCTCTCTCGTGAACACATGAATAGTGTTATTGTGATCGTGTCATCCTGTTAATAAATTCTGATGTGTAACAACCGTTAAAAATAAATAAATAAATAAGTTCACCCAACCATTCTCAAACTCTAAGCAATTCTCGCAAAAACAAAATAATAATAATAATAATAAATAAATAAATAAATAGATAAATAGATCTTCCTTTTTATCATAATTTTGTTGCATTTTATTTGAATAAATAATTCTCAAATATGTTATAAAATCACAATATCTAATGAATGATACATTAGTAGTAAACACATTTATATCTCCAGAAATATTAAATCTAAAAGTTTAAAAATTTATTAAATGCTTGATAAAATTGAGTAACCTAACGTTTAAATAGTTTTGCAAGTTTGAAGTAAATTGATGTCATGATGAGCTCACATAGATTGAGTTGAGTTAATATGACTTTTACGGTTGGAGTTAGATAATTGAATGATGTATGATGGGAAGGGAATTAACTCTTCATCCATAGCGAAAGAATTGTGAATCGTTTTTATTTTATTAAGAATTAAAACAAAACAATAAACCGAAAGGTAAGAACTCTACCTTTGTAGAAACCTCAGGCAAGACTTTTTGAAGTATTCAACATTCTTTATATCTACAAAGTATTCCTTGCTATGACTCCAACAAAGCTAGGGCTTGTGCGAGTCTCTTACAATAAAATTCAAAAGGATTGGAGAAAGTTAAGGCTTGTGGTAGCTCTCGAAAGAAAATCACAAAGGTAAGAAGGAGAGGCTAGGGTTGTGGGAGTCTCTTCAAATAAATAAAATCCAAAGGATGGGAGAAAGTTAAGGCTTGTGATAGACTCTTGAAATCCCTAAAGTATTGGAGAAAAAGACGCTAGGGCTAGGGCTTGTACGAGTCTCTTAAAATAAAATCCAAAGGTATTGGAGAAAGTTAAGACTTTGGTAACCTCTTGAAAGAAAATCCCAATGGTATTGGAGAAGGAGAGTTTCGAGAGAATCATCTGTAAAGGTAGTTTCATTCTTCTGGTCACTTGTAGATACATGTATGAATAGATACGTGTATAAAGACATGTTTAAATAGATAGATGTAGGTTCTTTAGTTCATAATTAATTAGGTGCATGTCTTTTGGATAATGAATGGTCGAAAAAAAGAATTGATCGTTTAAGTATTCTAAATTGCACTATAAAAATAATAGAAAGAGGGGCAAATAGATATGTCTATATATCTATCTATATTGAATTGCAGATACAGAAATGATAAAATCATTTTGGATCGGACCAAATACGGGTCTCCAATAGAGTGAAAGAAGATAGACAAGAAAGAAAATAAGAGGAAACACTTTTCAATAGAGGAATCGGTATTCTAATGACTTTAGCAGTTTCAATAAAGTTATTATTGTTGTTTATTCAGTAAAGATTGTTATTGAATAAAGTGAACTTTACGATCATTAATCTAAATCCAATAAATTAAGAACACTCTAGCTATAGTACGATTCTTGAACTATTTGTAGAGACATAAGAGTTGATCAAGTTCAAGTATATAGTAAAAATGATCTATAGTATAAGGATAAGGCTGAGTACCTTATTCTCGGGACACTATGGATGCGGCCCACTTTTGTATATGATATAAACAATGTGATCACTAAAATTGTACATGAGGAGACATGTGAGTGGGGGCGTCCTATGCAATGAGTATTGCATAAGATCGGACCATGAAGAAAATCACTCTCACTTTATAATGTTGTTTACTGTTGAGACTGATTTTCTTTTCATTCGATGACCTAAGTAACTCGATCTTAATCCTGAGCTAACCATGAACTCCTGTTTATTCGAAATTATCTTTAGATTTGCATGGGTGAGAGTGACTCAAGTTCGCCGACTCAATAGGCATCCCATATCAAGGGTAAGACTGGGTAAATGACTGGAGATGTGGGGTGCAAGATGGATTCACTCCTACCCACTTTTAGGGATAGAAGAAAGGTAGTTCCCTTAAGTACTGACTCCAGGTCTTGAACAAGGGACCCCACCCTCTCATTGGCCTGAGAGAGATCCGATTTACTGGTTGGACCACAAACCAATTGTTCATTAGAGGATCAGTGAGACATAAGAAACAAGAAGTAACTTCAAGGATAAAACGGTAAATTGACCCAGCTCTAGTTACAAACAACCTGTGAAGGATCGACTTACTAATCATGGTTATATCAAATGAACAGAAATATATCTATAGTGAGGGGAGTGCAACTACTAGGCTATAGTGGAATGTCCTAGTAGTTAACGAATGTTGGTTAAGAAGGTTAATGAGTTTAACCGGTTAATCTTGAATCGTTGGAGCCCATGATCTATAGGTCCATTAGGTCCCTCTGCTAGCTCATATCAGACTAAACCATAGAACGGTGTGACGAGTGAGTTCGAAGTGTTCGAATTCAAATTAGGGAGAATGCACTACATATATACGATATATTTAACCGCATTTTTGTTTTATTTACGAATTAAACAAAAAGAGAGAATATGAGATATTTAAATATCTTAATCAAATATGTGTCGGAATTGATTGGGATTGGCATTTGAATTAATATTAAATATTAATTAAATAGTTTAATTAATCATTTAATATTACTTTAATTTGAAATTAATAATTCAAATTGATGGTCAAAATCAGAAAGTCAAAATGTTGACTTCATTTAATGGAAAAATTCATGTTAGTGGAATTTTGAGGTGTCAAAATTTGGTTTAACCAAACTTGCATGCTTGCCAAATAAACCCAACAAATTTGAGTGTCAAAATTTGGTTAACACAAGCATGCATGCTTGCCACATAATCCCAAACATTTGAGTGGAATTTTGAGTGTCAAAATTTGGTGATCTCAAATTTGCATGAACATGCAAACATGACTCTATAAATAGAGTGATCATAATACATGAAAGGGCTTCTTGTTGGTGAAAAACATTGAGAAAAACCTCTCTCACAAACACTCTCTTCATATATACAAAATCTCTCCCAAGTTTAGTCACTCACCGGATTCCACAATCCCGTTCTAAGGCTGGAGGATAGTGGAGAAGACACTAGTGGTGGTTCGAAACCGGTTCGTGAGGAAAAAGGAATTTGAACTACAAAAGGTTAGTATTCAAACTCATTAAGTTTTAATACTTATGAACATGCTAGTTATTTACTATAATTGATGTTCTAAAAGTGCCTAAGATCCAAATTTCTTCCGCATGTATTATATTAACACCTTCAAGGACATCATAACATAATGAGATACTAATCTTAAAAGAGGGGGATATGACGAAATCGGTAGACGCTACAGACTTAATTAGATTGAGCCTTGGTATGGAAACCTACTAAGTGATAACTTTCAAATTCAGAAAAACCCTGGAATTAAAATGGGCAATCCATATCTATGTTGACATGGGTGGAAGATGTAGAAAATCAATTAAGCATTCCTTCATGGTTATACAAAGTTTTCTTCTTCCAAAGAATTCTACCCAATTTCTCTATTGTTACCAACAACTGGTATCAGAGCGATCTTGTAGCAAGAATGACAACAGAAAGACAAGTTGATAACTACGTTCAGCCCGCCATCCTGAAATTCGATGGTCACAATGATCATTGGGCGATATTGATGGAAAATGTTCTCAGATCAAAGGAGTTTTTTGATATGGTGGAGATGGGTTATATAGAGCCAAATGAAGGCGAGGTACTCTCAGCTGTTCAACAACAACGGTTGGCAACATTGAAGTTGAAGGACTTGAAAGTCAAGAATAATTTACTCCAGCCCATTGATCGAACTATCTTGGAAACGATGCTTCAGAAGAAGACATCCAAGGAAATTTGGGATTCAATGAGGAGGAAGTATCTGTTAAGATCGCACAACAACGCACACACTCGATCTAGATGAACACGAAGAACGAGATAGAGAAAATGGAAGGAGAATATTGGCTAAAAAAATTGTATTGATGACTACAAGTATATACAGTGAGAGAGAATACAGATAATATAGAAAATACATTTTCAAACTTCTAGATATATATATATATATATGATTTAGTTTATAGTTTTACCACATATAACCATCTACTATATATAACTATTTACCTTATATAGCTTTACCAAATGTAGTTTTTTACTATACATAGCTATTTACTATTTATGACAATTTACTTTATATGTCATTTACCAAATACAGTTTTATTGTGTATAATCGTTAACTAAGCTATAAATAAACAACAGGCTCCATAACCTAACATTATCGAGGCTCAATGAGAGTAAAGCGTTTTCAACTTCAAGCAGTTAGAAGAGACTTTGAAATTCTCCAAATGCAAAAGGGAGAAACGGTGAATGATTATATTGGCAAGGTTATGAGTCTTGCAAATAAAATGAGGATGCATGGTAATTCAATTACGGATGTTGCGGTTGTAGAAAAGATTTTGCGATCTCTAACTTCTAAGTTCAATTACATTGTATGTTCTATTGAAGAAGCAAACAATGTCGAAGAGATGCAAATAGATGGACTTCAAAGCTCCTTGCTCGTGCATGAGCAGAAGCTTAATCGCATGAATGCAATAGAGGAGATGACAACCTTAAAGATGTCCACACCAGGTGAAACTTCAAGCTCCAGAGGTAGAGGGCAAAGAAGAGGCAGAGGTCATGGAAGAGGCGGTCGAGAAAAAAGTGGAGATGTTGGCAGGTCAGCAGATTTAGTCAAAGACGATTATGACAACAAATGCAAGAGACATTTTGACAAGTCTAAGGTGGAATGTTACATATGTGGACGTATTGGACATTACAAGAATGAATGTTATACCAAGCTCCAAAAGGAGAAAAAAGATCAATCTAACTTTGTGGAGAAAAGAGAAGAAGAAACATTGTTAAGTTATTCCATGCTATGAAGGTTGCAGATCAAGGTGCGTGGGTCGAAGACTCTGGATGCAATAACCATATGACAGGTTGTAAGGAATTCTTTTCAATTATGGATGAAAATTTTCGTACTACTGTTTGTCTTGACAACAATGCAACCGTCCAAGTGATGGGGGAAAGGAACTGTAGATATCAAGACTAGAAATAGTTTCATAGAGTCGATTTCTGTGTTTTCATTCATAATTTGAAGACCAACTTGCTTAATATCTGTCAATTGCAAGAAAAGGGGTATGTGATCACATTACAAAATAATGAATGTGAAATTTATGACTCCAGAAAAGGATTGATTGCTAAGATGCAGATGACCACCAATTGCTTGTATTCATTGACGTTACATATCATTGTCAGAAGTTTGATGGTGAAGAAAGAAGATATCAACTGACATTGACATTTTAGGTATGGTCATCTGCATTTTAAAGGGTTAAAGACGTTGTCTTCAAAGAAGATGGTGACTGGGATGCCAGACATCACTCCTTGAACAGAAATTTGTGAGAGCTATGTGGTAGCAAAGCATGAAGAGATTCATTTCCTTTCGGAAAATCGAGAAGAGCACAAGCAATTTTGGAATTGGTGCATTCAGACATATGTGGTTAGATCTCTCTAGTATCAAATGATAATAAGAAATATTTCATGACCCTCACTGATGATTTAAGTAGAAAAACATGGACTTATTTCTTGCACGCCAAATCAGAAGCCTTTGATTGCTTCAAGAAATTTTGTGCTACTATGAACACTGAAATTGGAAGAAGAGTGAAGGCTTTAAGAACTGACAGAAGTAGAGAGTTTTTCTCTAACAAGTTTACAAAATTTTGTGAGAAGAAGGGCATAAGAAGGCAGGAAAAGTTCCGAAGGGATTCTGGCAAGTGGTCCATTCACATTCTCAACTGGAGCCCTATTTTTTCTGTTAGAGATGACTCCACAAGAAGCATGGAGCGGAAGAAAGTCTGCGTTAGACCACTTTAGAATCTTTAGGTGCATAGCATATGCACACGTTCCTGACAAGAAAAAGAAGAAACTTGAGGACAAGAGTTTGAAGTGTGTGTTCCTTGGAGTAAGCAAGGTTCTAAGGCGTACAAGCTCTATGATCCTTTGACAAAGAAGGTGGTGGTAAGTCGCGATGTAATCTTTGATGAAAGGAAGACTTGAATATGGGAAGAAAAGATCACTGTGAATCAGCAGATTTTAGTAGATCTTAAAGAAGAACAAGTTGAAGCCCCTATCCAGCCTCACTATGAGCATGGAGAGAGTTCATCTCAAGCTCAACATTTTGCCTTCTTTATGGATAGTAATCCAATTAATAAGAATCACGGTATTCCAAATGTTCCAACTGGACCTATTACACGATCCAAGGCGAAGAAGATTCAACAAACATTCATTCTTCATCTACAAAATTGAATCGGATCGGTTCAACCATCATTTCTAGAATTAGAAGTTGATACGATTGAAAAAGAACAATTGAATATTTGCACGGTTAAAGTTGGAAAACTTTAAAGATTTCAAGTTTGTTTCTTTAGCCACTCAAACATATGAACATTTGTTAGAGGATTTTATTGTTTTTTTCATTTTCATTTTGCAATGGTCAAATAGTCAAAATTGATTTCGTCTTTTTTAGAGATTAAAGGGGATCGGGATTGAATCCCGACCACAAACGTCTTTTGTCGGGAGACTATAAATACCCACAATATGTTATATAAAAATCAGATTTGTGGATGAATGTAATTAAGATCTCAAATTGAGACGTTTCCCTTAGAAATCTGAGCATCATATTTGCCATTTCTAAGTTTCAAGCAATTCTTGTGGTAGAATTGCTCCCGAGTCATTCAATCTAGCCTTGATCAAGTTCGATTGTGGAGTGACTCAATTTAGAACGAAGTTTCCAAATCTTGCTTCTAGATCTTCTATCGTATAATCTAATTCTAGCCTTATTTGTTGATCCAAATTTCATATAAGGAGGTGTTAATTACTTTAATTCAAGGGCTCTTGCTTCAACAAAAGCTTGGATCGTTGGGCTGGGGATTAATATTATCTTATCACTAATCTTCTATGAAGAAGTTGGAAAAGAAATGGAGAGAAGTCATGGAGAGTGAAATCAAATTCATAAAAAGAATAAGACTTGGGATATCATTGATGAAAGGGCATAAAACAACCTAAAGTGCATAAAACAATTGGAGTAAAATGAGTTTTCAAAACAAAGTTAAATGAAAATGGTGAGCTGGATAAGTACAAGACACGTTTAGTTGCAAAAGGGTACAAGCAGAAGTATGGAGTTGATTATAAAGAGGTATTTGCACAAGTAGCACGTCAAGATACTATAAGGCTTATAATTTCAATTGGGGCAAAAAAATCATGGTCTATTTATCAACTGGATGTAAAATCGGCCTCCTTACATGGTACAGTCACATTGATTCTCATTTTGAAAAGATGGGATTCAGGAAATGTCCATATGAACATAGGTTGTATGTGAAAATTGAAAAGGGAGGTAAGATTCTCATTATTTGCTTATATGTTGATGATTTAATATTTACTGGCAAAAATGAAAAAATGTTTGAACTTTTTAAGAAGAGCATGATGAATATATTTGAAATGACGAATCTTAGTTTGATGCGATATTTTCTTGGAGTAGAAGTTATTTAAAATGCCGCTAGTAACTTTATCTGTTAGAAGAAAAAAGTTTAAGAGTTGCTTGAAAAATTTAAAATGGATGAGCGTACATTTGGAACTCCATTAGAATTGGGTTTGAAGCTAGACAAGAATATTGAAAGGCGAGAGGTTGATAATAGGTACTCCAAGCAAATTGTGGGAAGTTTGATGTACTCAACTTCAACAAGACTAGACATCATGTATGCGGTTAGTATGATAAGCCGCTACATGGAGCATCCCACGGAAAAACATCTCGATGCAGCAAGAAGAATACTTTGTTATGTGAGAGGAACTTTTGATTTGGGGGTATTCTTAAAAAAAAAAAAAAAAAAAAAAAAAAAAAAAAAAAAAAAAAAAAAAAAAAAAAAAAAAAAATTGAAGATGGTTGTCTATACAGATAGCGACTATGCGGGTGATATAGATGATCGTAAAAGTACTTCAGGAAGTATTTTCATAATGAGTTCGGGAGCTATTTACTAGTCTTCAAAGAAGCAACCTATTGTAACACTGTCAGCTACAGAAGCAGAGTTTGTAGCAGCAGCATGCTCGTGCCAAGCAATTTGGTTAAGAAAGATGCTTGAAATTCTTAATCAGAAACAACCAGATATGACTATTATATATTGTGATAATATGTCAACTATTAAGTTGTCTAAGAATCCTATGTGGCACAGAAGAAGTAAGCACATCGATATTCGATTTCATTTCTTGCGTGATTTGTGTAAAAAATGCACTATTGAACTCAATTTTTGCCCAAATGATGAACAAATCGCAAACCTATTCACAAAACCCTTGAAACTATTCGAGAAGCTAAGAAGAAAGATGGGGATGTGCAGAATCCAAGATGTAGTTGAAGAAGATGAAGTGAAGTTCTAAACTGATCTCAGGGAGGGTGTTGAAGGGTAACTTGTAGATATATGTGTTGAAGGGTCACATGTAGATATATGTATAAGGACATGTTTGAATAGATACATGTAGATGTTTTAGTTCATAATTAATTAGGTGCATGTCTTTTGGATAATAAATAGTCCTGGGAATGCCCCAAATTACCCTATATATATGTTGACATTGGTTGGAGAGGTAGAAAACCAATTAAGCATTCCAAAAAATTCAACCAAAATTCCCTTCGGCCACCAACATCTTAAAGTTAATCCCAAAGATATTGGAGAAGGAGAGTTTCTTCTAATAAATTATAAGAGATTTGTGTTTATAATCTGGTTAAATAATATATTAAAATATAATATCGTGTATCAATTACATTTAAATATTATAAAATATTTTAATTTAACTAATTTGAATCTCATTCAAATTTCAAATAGATTTTTTAAAATATATTTTTAATAAAATGTATTTTAATATTTAATATATTAAATATATATATGTATATATTTTTTATTTTAATATATCTAAAATATTAAATATTAATTTAAATATTTTAAATTAAATTTATTTTCTCTTCGTATTTAATATATTAAATATTAATTTAAACACTCTAAATTTTCCTTCCATTAAATTGAATCTTTTAGTTTCTAGGGTTTGTGAGGGACCTTGTGACCTACCCATTATAAATTGTAAACCCTCTAATTAATTAATTTTCATTCATTAACTCTACTGTAGACTTATAGTTACACTCACTGTAAGATAAATTATGTCCATTTAAGAAGAATGAAACTTCATTGTTATAAATTTTAAGTTGATTAATTTAGAGTTATTGTATTTTATTAATATATTTTAAGACTTTTTTTTAAAGTTACATTTATATAGTGGCTAACTATAGTCATAAAATATACATAATAGTTAATTATGGTCATAAAGTATAAATGTTATAAACTCTTGAAATGCATGGAAGGTCCTGGGTTTCATTTTTAGGCTATATAAAGCCATGTATATTAAATTTGTAAGGAAGACTTGGAAAATATAGTAAGTTTTTTTGCAATTCTATATGGTTTAGGTTGCATGTAAAATCATTTAAGCTCGGCATGATCAATCTTGCTTTTGGAGTGATTCGAATCTCAAACAAGTGTTCTTACCTTGAGATATTCACTCAACAAGGTAATCTGAATCTTACTTTCCTTGTAGTGATTCCTTATCATTTGACATCATAGCTTTCCATTGGGCTGATTCCATATCATAATCCTTCACTAGTTGTTCATAATTATAGATGAGTCAAAAATTTGTTTTACTCCTGTAATCAAGTTCTTCCAGACTCGATGTGAAGGTGGGACCACATTATTCAAGTACAAAATCACTACTTCAAAGAACAACCAATCTACTTTCCTTGACAATAGGTTAATTCCATGAGATGATATTATATTCCCAAACTCCTCATTTAGTCAAGCCTCCAAAATGGTAGACATTAAATCGGCTACAAGAATCATTCTCACCCAAGCAAATTAAAGAACAAGCCCTCATAAGAGTTCATAACTGACTCAGGATTAGGTCAAGCGGCATATGATCATTATGTTAAATATTAATCTTTAACGAATTTATAAATAGAGATTAAATATTTCTTGGTCTAATCTTATACAAACTCATTGTATATGATAGCCCCACTCACATATCTTCACATGAACGATTTAGATCAAATCATTTGTAATGATTACAAAGTAGACTGTATCAATAGTGTTACCAAAATTAGGTATTACCTTATCCATATACTATAGATCTTTTAGCTTATTACTTAAACACGATCATTTTGTATGTCAACCACATACTGCTCAACCTTAGATTTTCATACCATGAATATTATTAAATTATATATAAAATAATAAAAATTATTATTAAAAATTAAATAATTAATTATGAGGCTGAGAACATAAATCCTAACAAAATCCAACTTTCATTGTCAATAAATTGGTGACATCCGCTTAAATCAATCCAATAAGTATTGGAGTTAGATAATTGAATGATGTATGGTGGTGCATGTCCATGCCTGTACATGCACCATATTGTTTATGCAATGTATATGTATTTTATGTACGATATGTATAACAACCATTAAAAAAAAAAAAAAAATAATCACTTTCATTTCTTATCGGCGTTAACAAGGAATAATAATCAAAGGTTTCTTTTTTGGAAAAAAAAAAACATATGAACATATGAAATGGATAGTAATATAACAAAAATGATGCGTCCTTTTGTGAGTGTTCTCCATTTTTGTTCCAAGACTACTTTTTTCGTATCCTTATGAATCAGATAATATCTCTATGATATCTCAACCAACCTTCTCAAACGAGACTATCCATAGTTACTGCAACAAAAAAAAAAAAAAAAAAAAAAAAAAAAAAAAAAAAAAAAAAAGAAATTGCCTCTAATGATGTTTACTGAGAGATGTTGCAAATTCACATGAACAGAGATTTCACTATGAAGGTAAGTTATATTTCGTGATCTTCCTTTTCTTTTTCTTTCATCCTAATATTTGCTATTATTTAGATTTTAGTTAGCATTTTACTAACTTAAAGGAAATCATGCGAGTATCAATAACATTTTATAACATACAATATCTTAAGGTATTGACGCCTAAGAAACGATTGAGGTAGCACTACAAGAACTATAAAAAATAGTGAAAAGTTAAAGTAAAAAACAAAAAAAAAGCGTAAAAAGTAAGATATCACATGCCAAAGCTAAAATACATCAAAATATAGTATAGGAGAATGTGATTAGTTGTCAATTTTCATACCCACATTCTACATTATTAAAGTTGTGGTTGTTACTTATTTGCTTTTAGACAAAAACATTGCTTTTTAAAACTCTCTCCCCATTCCTTGCTCGTGCCAAGCGACAGGTCCACAGGAAGGTACTATCGAGCTAGGCCTAGGCCGTTAAGGGTAGCGCATTGAGACGACTAGGTGGTATCACCTTGTGGGAATGAGTAGAGGTCTCCTAAACAAGGTCTTTGTGCGATAAACTCATTCAGAGAGGGGTGAGGGACCACACAATTGAACGTAGTAATTGGCTGACACATGAAGTCTCTCCCCCTAAATCTAGAGTGACTATATGATGTGTTTGTCGATTAACCTTCCACCGATGATGTTAAAAATATAAATTTTATTTACAATTGAGCTTAGTATTTCAATTTTAAAAGTCATAATTATTTATTTATTTATTTTTTTTAAATATAAATTGTACATCTTACCTATGAATTTTTTTATTTATTTTCTTTTTATCAATGTATAAAAAAAAATATTTTTCATAAATTTAATTTTAATATATGAATTTTGGCTACAATATTTTGTTAAAAAAAATGAAACTGAGAAACAACAAAGCCCAATAAGGCCCAAGCCCACGAACAGGGGGAATGAAATAGTTTGTTTCTCATGCAATAATTTCACCTGAAGCTGTTCTCCCATTTCTAAACTCATTTATCCCTTTCTGAAGATCGGTTGATGAAATTTTCTCCTTCAGTTTTTGTGAGCTCAGGCGATTCCACTCGAAATGGCGATCCTCGAAGAAGACCAGTTGGCTTCATTGACCACAGATCGCATCATTCCAGCTTCTCGTCTTCTAGAAAACGAGATTCGGATCTTCAAGGTCTCAGAATTTCTACTTTTTTTTTTGTTCATATTCTGCGCCACTATACATCTTAATTAGGTCGAAGTTCCTCTGATGATGTTGTATAAATAGTGTGCGAGTATGTGTTTGGTGCCCTTGATTTTTGTGGGCGAGAAGTTGGATTGACAGAATATTTGTTGTAATGAGCTAAATAATGTGATGAATTTCGACTTCCTAGTTTTGTATGCATCTTGTGATATATAAAATGTTTGATGGATATTGCCGTTTTCTGTTGATGAATGGTGATGGTATCTGATTTTGTTCGAATTTTGGGGTTTGAAGGAAGAGATGCAAAGGACGAATTTGGAGTGGGATTTTTTCAAGGAAAAAAGTAAACGAGGACCAGGAGAAGATTAAACTTAATAAACAGCTACCTTATTTGGTCGGGAATATAGTTGAGTTAATTTCTCTCTTCACATGTAGATTACATCTGTTCATTCATTCGGTCAATATAGTTAGAAATTGTATTAGTAGTTTTGAAAGCTGTGATTGAGTGAGTTGTAATATTTAGGGAATTTTGCAACCATTTACATACCGATGTAAAAGAAGTAGCTATTTTCAGAAAGAAGCAAACGTGAGAGTTACTAAGAACAATGAATCAATAAGAGAAAATAACTTTCAAAAACAGTGAACAAACACATGTTTTTATTTGTACTAGTTATAGAGAACATATTGCTGTTCTTAATGAGAACATATTGCTGTTCTTAATACCAAATTTCAGCCAAACACCCCCAATTTTTAATACGTCGTGTTTTTGTTATGACGAGATAAAGTTCATTATTTAAGTGAGTAGATCACGGATTTTATTTTATGATTTCTAATTGCTAGTAAGTATCTATAAAAAAAATTTGGGGTATAACTTCTACCACTCTGGGTTTTACTCGATTTGAGTTGTTTTTTTATTTCAAGTTTTTATGTGCCTGAAATTTAACTCTACATATGATTTTGATGCTACCAGATTCTGGAAATGAACCCAGAAGATGAAGCTGAAGAGATGGTGCAAATATTGATCTTGACTCGCAAAGCAATTGAAAATGTGTTGCGTTAAGCGCACCTACTCGCCAGGTGAGTTATTATTCTGCTTTTATAGATAACCTTATAGCTATCAGAGAAATAGCAATGAAACTCTAGTGAATTCTATTGCTCTATTTCCCAATGTAGTGGTGCTTTACTTCTTTAGGGATCAGGTTATGTATGCCATTTTGTACATATTCAAACAGGTATGGATATTTTGCGGGTTCCTTTCTTCAGAGATCCAACTTTTTTCTATTTAAACATGTGATGGTCTGGTTACCTGGTTTTTATGATTTGCATAATGTTGTTATGGTATAGCACTATCACTCAGTATTAGACTAAGATTAGTTGGTTACAGTTTAAAATCTAACTTCTTTATTGTGAAAATGTCATACTTGATTCAATTTATGGCTCATGCTTTTTTTAACTAGATAAGAGTTCTGATTCGTTCTATTCATTTAAGCTCTGGACCATGTGAAATCCCAGCATGTTTTGTTTTGACTGCAGACAATCTTTTTACCTGTTGTTGGGATTGTTGATTCCAACAAATTAAAACCTGGTGATTTAGTTGACAGTTACCTGATCTTGGACACTCTACCATCTGGGTACGATTCTAGACAGGCAATGGACGTTGATGAAAAACATTAGAGGGTTGGAGAAGCAGGCAAGTCTCTAGCTTTCTCTAGGCATGCCTTATATGAACAATGAACATGCATTTGTTTTGGTCACATAATTGAGCATTGATCTACCCATTTATCATACAATTCCACACATCTTTTTATGCATAACTTTAATTTTAGACCATAAAATTCAATTTCAGTGATTTGAAGTTGAATGTATAATTTGAATCGTGTTATCTTCTTATTCTTCGTGTTATTTTACTTGCCTATTCTTCGTCATTCGAATAATATACACCCAAAAGCGAAACAAAGATGATAAAATAATGCATGCCATATATTATATTATAGTATATTGTATTTTGGGATTGGGGGCATAAAGTTGATGTAAATTAGCTTAGAATATCAAAAAGAAAAAGAGAAGTATTGCGAGCAGAAAAATATGGGATTCCTTCAGCACTTGACTTCCTTCAACCCATAGGCAATATAGATAAATGTAGGATCAGTCGCCCCTTCTTTGTAGTATGCAAATACCAGAGCGGCATCATCATGCATGCCTTCCCCCACAAAGCTGCATTCAATTCAAACCCATTTGAGCTTAATAACCAACCTTCTTGATGTGTCCTAACAATAAACAAAGCTTGAACTTACAATTGGAGGTCATTGATCTTGCTCAGCAGGAACTTGGTTGCCTCTGGGATGTGCTTCTTAAACACCTCTTGTTTCTCTTCATCCAGTTTGGGAGTTAGTAGCTTTATGTATCTTTTCATGTATGTGATAAACTGCTTCTTGTCAAATGGAGGTTGTTCCTGCCAATATATATGCCCACACACACAACACTTTCTCTTACCCATTCATCCAAAACCAAACTATATATATACCAATGAATTGAAAAACACAACTCTTTCTTACCTGAAGTCTGAAGGTGTCAACAATATCCACAACCTTCACAGCTTCTTCCTCCACGCATTCATCTTCTTCACCTCCTTCTGCAGACGGGTTCGCCCCGATGTCTACGTCCACTGCTCCTTGTACAATCCACTGTTATCCAAATCCCAAATTACCCAGAATAAGAAACTCCAGACAAATAAACAAAACACAGGGATTAAACTCGTGTCAGTCTCGAAAAATCTTCATCTATGATTCGTTATTAGTTGAATCAATAGACTTGCAGATTACTAGAAGAATATGTCAGTTTCCTTACCTTTCCTTCCACTTCCCACAACATCTCATTCTCAATCTCCTTGTATGGGAAGGAGTCTGACAGAAGTTCATCACCTGAGTTCATCAATGGAGTCTAGTCAAGCACAAAAACAGAACACCTAAAAGCTCCAAACCAATCCAAACTTCAGCATTGAATGATCCAATACATAAAGAAGGATAAAATTTATTGGGGAAGCAAGATTGGGAGCAACAGTAAGAGCGAAACAGAAACAAACAAGGATGCAAGGGGGAATTGAAGGAGAGGGGGAAATACCTGTAAGTTGGTCCTGGTAGACGATCATGGCTGCAAACAAAATCGGAGGAGGGAGAGAATGGAAGAATAAACGTAGAGGGGAAAAGGTGAAGAAAGAAAGAGAGCGTAAGGAGAACGCTAGGGGCGGTGAATGTTTATAGCCACGGAGAAGGAAGAAAACGAATCGAAGTGGGATTCTGAATTTGGTCCTTAATATCCAAAATTCATATCCAAAACACTAACAAAAACTAGTAATCTCTTAAGATTTGCCATTTCAAATGGTATATTATAATTATTCTTTTAAAAGATTTGTTAGGATTTAGTCAATATAAGAATATGTGACACATCTAATATAATATTTTTTAAAAAACTAATATTAATAATAATAAAAAAAGTTAATTTTATGGAAGCGATAATGAAATTAAAAAAAATATTGTAACCAAGATAAGATTCATTTTGAAAAAAAGGATAAGATGGTATATTTACTAAACATACGATTGGTGCGTATATATCCCTCTAACATTTATAGAACTGATGAAATTAATAAACGATAAAATTAGCAAACTTTACAAATAATAAACTTAACAACTCACTAACATTTAGAGGTCCTAACACCCAAAAAAAATGGTTTAATCTAACCGTCTAAACAATTTTCCCTAAACTGATTACATTTCCCTAAACTGATTACATATCAATGTGTTTAATCTGAAATGAAACCTCATATCAATGTGTTCATGATTGGATTCTTGGATAGCTTAATGGTAGAATTATTATCATATAACATATTGATACACTTGTCTTGAAAATGATAGTTTTTTCCAAACTCTCCTCATCCTCACCCCTTGATAAGCACAAGAGGCTGCGACCACGAACTTTACTTTAGTAGTTGACAAAGCAACTAATGTTGTTTTTTAGAGGACCAACACACAACTCTATCAATGAGTAAAAACACATAACCAAAAGTGTTTTTCATATTATCTATATCTCCTCCATAATCACCGTCAGTATATGCTATCAACGCTCTATTACCCATTCTTTGATAAAGGACTTCCAAGTTTATAGTACCTTTTGAGTATCTCAATACCTTTTTTGTCGCTTGCAAATGCAACTCAGTTGGACTTGGCATAAATCTGCACACGAGAGACACTACATACATTAAATTCGGCCTTGTTGCAATTAGATCATAAGACAACACTACATACATTAAATTCAGCCTTGTTGCAATTAGATCATAAGACTTTCAATCAGTTGTTTGTACATTGACCTTGGCTCCTTCTTCATCCTTTGTTTGTGTCTAACCCCAGAAATAGTATGATTCTTCACACCATTACTCTTCTTCATCCTAAACTTTTCCGAAACTTCTTTTTCGTACTTTCTCTGATATAAATGCCTTTATGATTTTGAAAAACCTCTACACCGAGAAAATATTTCATTTTTCTCCAAATCAATCATTTCAAATTCAAGTTTCATAGAATTCTTGAACTTAACAAACATGTTCTCGTCATTGCGAGTAAAAATTAGATCGTCAACATATAGATTGTTAAGGATATTTAGTAATAAATTATTGTTCTCGTCATTACCAGTAAAAATTAGATCATCAACATATAGATTGTTAAGGATATTTAGTAATAAATTATAGTTTACCATATATATCATATTTGATATTTTATTATAAGGCAAATATCTCGATATTTTCCTTCTTACCATAGCTATTTTACATTTATTGTTATTTCCATTTATTACTATTTCTATATCCTTGTAATTTATTTGATTATAAATAAGATAACTTTCAAGAGTGGATTATGCAAACATTCACATGATATCAGAGCCATTTTGGTTTAGCAACTCGGATTCTTTCTTTTCAATGGCTTTTGAAATCTTCTACTGTTCTTCTCCACCACCACTGCTAGCTTTGACGCCACAGGGGCAGTCGTCATGGCTGCCACATGCAGAGCCGATTGACTACTCTTTGGCTCCACCCTTTTGACCTCCAAATCATCATTCGACATACTATGTACATATTCTTTCTTTTCAATGGCTTTTGAAATCTTATTGTTCTTCTCCACCACCACTATTGGCTTTGACGCCGCAGGGGCAGTCGTCATGGCTGCCACATGCAGAGCCGATTGATTACTCTTTGGCTCCACCCTTTTGACCTCCAAATCTTCCTTCGCCGTACTATTTGGCTTCACCCTTTTGACCTCCAAATCATCCTTCGCCATACAGTGTACATACAACCTCATCTTTTCCAAACATAGCCTCTTTCATTTGCTTCCCAATTTTCCCATTCATCCTTCACAGAAACCCTAATTTTAGGATCTTGTTCTCTTCGGAAATATACAGAATCTCGATAAGCCAATCGACCTTATGCAGAGATTTATCTTTAGAATCTGGGTGCTGCACTGGCCTCTTCGCCAACCAAGTTGCCGCCGCTCTTCTCGCCAAAATTGGCTGCTTTGCCCAATGTGGCGACTCTTCCGGCTTCAACATTGTCTTCGTCCCTTGCTCTAGGTTTCCCCTTCTACTTCTTGGGGTTAAACATATTCTCACCAGAGCCAAGGCAGCATCGTCGCTAAGCGACAATCCCTCTTCATGGGTTAGATATATTCTCGCCGAAGCCAAGGTAGCATCGCCGCTGAGCAGCGATTCCTCTGCAATTTTTTATGGCCAAGAAAGTGTTTCTCTACGCCTCCTCTGAAACAAGTTGTTAACATCTTCATGAAAAGTGTTTCTCAACCTCTTTGAGTTTTTTAGATTCAAGCTTCACGTTCGTTTAAATCCGACGCTTAACTTATAGTGGGATGTTAAGGATATTTAGTAATAAATTATAGTTTATCATATATATCATATTTGATATTTTATTATAAGGCAAATATCTCGATATTTTCCTTCTTACCATAGTTATCTTTACATTTATTGTTACTCTTGAATCCTTCTTTAATGAAATGTGCTTCAATTCAACTGTACCATGCACGTGGGGCTTGTTTAAGGCTATATAACGCCTTCTTCAATCTATACACCTTGTACAATTCACCTTTTTTTTTCTCATAATCTTGTGGTTGCTCAACAAACACTACTTCATTTAACTAGTGCAAACCCCTCGGTATAGTTTATACCATGTTGTTGTGCGTACCCTTTTTCCACCAACCTAGCCTTATACTTGTCAGCTTTGCCATTTTAGTTGAGTTTAGTTTTAAAAACCCATTCACTCCAATCTTCTTGTAATGATCGATCTTCGAAATACCGAATCACGGGTCGCCACGTGGACTGAAGTGTTACGACAGTAATATACTATAATTACCCTCAACCCCTTGTGGGTGTCTACGAAAACGTTACACTATCATCTATGTGCTTCATAACTTATGGTTACTAGCACCTAATAAATGATCCAACTCAAAGGGTAACAATGGGCTACTCAAACCCCACACCCAATGCCTAACAAAGAACCACGACAACAACATGTCACCATGTTAAATCACGTAATAACCATCTAGCTCAACATAAAAACATACCATCCCAAACGCCTATAAGAAATTTTACATTCATGCCAATGAAACTATATAACCTTAACGACAATCAAAGTACAACCACACACATTATCGAAGTACCACCTCCATGAACTAACTTTATCCATTCCTAAATACGTTACTAAATTATTTGGCCACAAAGCCAAACTGACTCCTACAAGCAATTACTTAAAAGTTTGCTCTAGATGGTTACTTACCTGATCGTAGACTTCCCAAAATTTTATC